AGTGGCTAAAACCTCACTCCTTCCCTCAGCACACAGTCGTGAGGCCTGAGCTTTGTGCAGGGGACCTGGGGGCGTGGCACTAGGTGAGACGCAGCCCCTCTGCTCGGAGCTCACTGGCCCTGAGATGCAGTGATTCCAAAGCCACCGGAAGCATAACGAGTCCCTGGCAGGTGGCTTATTCAAAAGGCAGGTTTGGGCCCCGGCTGGTTTGGCTCAGTGGATAGAGCATCGGCCTGCGGACTGAAGGGTCCTGGGTTTGATTCTGCTCAGGGCACACATGTCCCGGTTGCAGACTCGATCCCCAGTGGTGGACGTGCAGGAGGCAGCCGATCCATGATTCTCTCTCATCATCGATGTTTCTCTGTCTCTTTCTCTCCCTCTCCCTTCCTCTGAAATCAACAAAAATATATAATTTTTAAAATATATTTTATTCACTTTTTACAGAGAGGAAGGGAGAGGGATAGAGAGTTAGAAACATCGATGAAAGAGAAAGATCAGCTGCCTCCTGCACACCTCCTACTGGGGATGTGCCCTCAACCAAGGTACATGCCCTTGACTGGAATCGAACCTGGGACCTTTCAGTCCGCAGGCTGACATTCTATCCACTGAGTCAAACTGATTAGGGCAAAAAATATATATTTTTTTAAAAATCAACATGCCAAGCACAAAACTTTGATCCTCTTCATTCCCACCGTTGAAACTTTAAATTTAAAAAAGTTTTAACAAATAGATAATAAATAAAAAAACACGCCTCCAACACACCAATTCTCCCCACCTCAGAGCCTCTGAATAGTCTATTGAGATCCTCCCCTGGGGCCTCCCCTAAAATCTCCACCTTAAAACCCTTAGGATGGGGACCCAGTGCCTCTCCCTCCAGGGAGCACGCCTGTGCCTTGCCCTAGCCTTTACCCCTGCCCCCAAGGCCTATTACCATGACCTTTCCCTCTACCCCTCGGTGCCCAGCTCAGGGCCTGGCCCCAGACCCCGGGTGCTGGTGCTGCGTGAGAGGCTGAAGTCCAAGACCACGCAGGCCCAGCGGGGCTCGGCACGCCCAGCGGGGCTCGGCACGCCCAGCATAAGAACCTGGGAACGCTTCCAGGCGTGGAGGCCTGACCCCGGTGCAAAAGGTGGTGTCTGGTATGAGTTCCCTGGTGGCCCCCAGGCCCAGCGATGGCTGGGAAAATGCCCCCACCGCCCTGTGCTCGCAAGGCCTTCCCCTGCTGGGGCCGGCTGGACGTGCGGGTGCATTCCTAGCATTCCAGGGCTTTTCTCTGGGAGGAGGCCTCCTTCCCACAGATAGGCCTCCCGTGGGAGGACTGGGAAAGCTCGGGTTGTGTCTGGGCTGAGCGACACCAGCCTCCGCCCCCGTGCGGCTTGGCCACGTGGTAGGCGCTTTGCATGGGAGAACCTGTTGATACGCCATGGCCTGGCCTGGCGAGAAGTGCCCCTGGGGAGCTGGCCCCCAAGACTGCAGCTCCCGGTGCCCCATTCAGGCGAGATCAGGAGCTGGGGGGACAAGGAGGCATGAGCCGCAGCCGTGCTGCCTGCCAACTTGCTCAGTGACGTGGTCAGTCGCTGCCCTGTCTGATCCTCAGGCCCGTCTACCGTCCTCCTGGGTTCTGATGGAAACCACAGGTGCGTGAAGGAGGGGTTGGGGGCCCGTCACATGCTGGTGCTTTGCATCCGCCCTCTCACTGAAGCCATACAACCTCTCTAACGGGGGCGTGGAGGGGGGGCAGTATTATCCCCATTTTACAGGTGTGGAAAGTGAGGCTCAGAAAGGTGAGGTCACCAGCCTTAAGCCACACAGCCAGCGAGGAGTGGATCTGGCTGCTCCTGGCTCAGCTTGGGCACCACCCACTCCCAAGGCTCAAATGGCTCCCTGTTTCGTTCATTCAACATCATCTTCTCGACCTCTGACCCTGTGAAAGCGTGGTGCTAGCTCCATGTCCGATTCCCTTTGCTTCCATCCTTGTTCATAACTAGCTACCTATGGCAGCACTACTCTTCTGAGTGCTTCATGAATCAACATGTACGAGCCATGTGGTACAGAGCCCGGCACACAGTAAGTGCTCAGAAAATGGCCACAGCCCTTTTAGGTCAACCCAGGTGGGCCAAGGCAAGGGGTTTGGAGGTGGAAGGAGGGGGAATGGTCTTGCCTACAGGCAAAGCTCACAGCTTCAGCCGGTTCTTGGAATCTTCTAGACCTCGGGAGGAGAACATGAGGGGACTCTGCGTTGCCAGAACCACCAGTGTGATCGCATAGAAGTGTTCCTTGCCAGGAGAAGCGTAGTGACATCGAAGCCCAAGTCACAGTTGGCCCATTTTGCAGAGAAGAAAAGTGAGGCTTAGCGAAGGGAGGTCACCTGGCTTGGCTTAAGCACAGAGGCCCCAGCCTGCATCGCCTCCAGCCTCTTCCCTTCCCCAATCCATGCCATGTCCTAACAAATTCCCTACCCAATGCCATAAAACTCTGGAATCCAAAGAGTATCCACCATAGAGCATCCCCAGAGACACCCAGAACGTAACCCGGTTTCTAAGAACGGAGACAAAGAGGCGGTCTTGGCACAATACCGCCACCTTCTGGCCATGCCTAGGAACTGCAGCTCTGGCTTGGCCCCCTTGAGCATTGCTGTGACCTCCTCTGGGGTGCCCACCATCCGCACCCCCATCTCCCATAAAACTGGTCTGATGAACCTTGGAGCAGCATTGGCTATTTTACTTCCGTTGACGAGTTGTCCCCATCCTTCAAGGCTTTTCTCGTGTATCATTTCTTCCAGGAAGAGCTGACCCCGTCTTCCAGAGCACGGGGAGGCCTGGAGAAGGGAAGTTAGCCCCGAGAGCTCACAGCCGGTAAGTGGCAAAGCTGGGATTCAGACCAGGTTTCTCAGGAATCTCAATGCTAGGACTGACTTCAGAATCATTAAAAATACACGGGCAGGCTGGTCTTGAGACAGATCCTGACGATGCATCCAGGTTCCCAAAGAGAGATAGGTGATCAACTAGCAATGTCTGTCATGGGTGCTGGAAGGGAGGGTAGCAATGTGTGTGCCATGTGTTTGCCAGCCCTTCATCTCCACACCCTAAACTCTTCCTACCTGTTTCTCTGTCACCAAAGAGCTCTTTGCCTTCCCAATGAGGTATAAGCTCCCTGACAAGAAGAACCCGGCTTTTCTTTGAAGAACTGTCCTAGGCACCAAGTGATATTGTTAAATATATATATATATACTCTAGAGGCCCAGTGCACAAATTCATGCACAGGTGGGGTCCCTCGGCCTGGCTGGTGATCAGGACCGATTGGGGCCATCTCGCCCAGTCCTGATTGGGGCAATCGAGGCCAGCCAGGGGTAGGGACCGAGGGAGGTTGGCTATGGGAGCACACTGACCACCAGGGGGCAGCTCCTGCATTGAGGATCTTCCCCCTGGTGCTCAGTGCATGTCATAGCAGTCAACCAGTGGTAAAGGTCACTTAGGCTTTTATATATATAAATATTGATAGTGATTCCGCATGATGGTTCCACAGCAATGTGAATGTACTTAATGCCACTGAATCATACCCTTAAAATTATGAAGGTGGTAACTTTTATGTTATGTGCACTTTCCCACAATTAAAAATAAGAGTACCCATTGTATTGACTTCCAAGGTCATGGTCTTGAAAAACAGGCTGACCGAGCCCACTCCTGCTCCTTGAAAATCCACCGGTCCCCCTCTCCCAACTACGCATCCCTTTTGCCAGCTAAGAAACAGTCATCCGTTGGGTGCGAATCTGCTTTTAATATCAGGATGGTATGTACACAGAAGATGCGACATTCATGAGTGAAGACAAAGAGCCCAGTTTACACTCCGTTGCTGGGTCCTTGTAAAAATCTGATTTTAAACTACAGCTAAATTTCTTGTCCCCACATCCACCCTTCCCGGGAGGCTGTGACGTGGAGAATGTCTCCTCTGGTTTGTTAGAGTAGAACAGTGGGTCCCTGAAAAGACTTTCCAGAAGGGCCTTCGGGGTCTTTGTTGGGATGAGACCAGTCCCCACCCCGGGCGTCCTCCCCGCTCCATAGGTCAGCATGGGTGACATCACAGCCCTCAAGCAGGGCCCACCGTGGCCCCTCCCTCCTGCTGCCTATTAAAGGATTAGGATCCTTTCTTTTCAGCCTGGGTGGCCAGTTCCCCAGCTCATGAGAACCTAAGGAGCGTGGGTTCAGTGGCCTCAAGGCCAGAGCGCACATCAGCAGGCCCGGGTTGGGGGCAGGCGGGTGAACAGTGTGCCTACATGGGCTCGCGTCCTCTGGTGTTCGGTCAAGGACACGTACACACAATGCCATCATCAGTCTCTAAGGTGGCTTAGTCCCATCTTTCTGTCTCTGGGGACAGAGGTCCCTTACCCACCAAGACACATGTTTCCCTCCCCAGGGCCAGGCTCAGCCTCTCACAAGCTCATTCCTCCACACTTGCAGGTCCCCCTTGCAGCCCCCAGGACCAAGGGCTCCCATTCCAACGAGACTCTCTTAGACTTGCAGGGGTGACCACTACCCCTCAGGTCTCCCGTGGGAGCCACATACCACAGGGGCCTGGGGTGAGGTGCTCTCGAGGCTCCTCCTCCCCCAGGCGTCACTGGCAGCTCAGCCAAGCCCCCAGCCTAACGTGAACACCGTTCTCTCTGCTTTTTTAATCATTGCAGCGCCGCTTTCAACTGGGGCGAGCAGTTATAGACCCTGCTTATCTCCAGATGGGCCTGGGGGTCCCCCTAGTTCCCAAAGGGTCTAATCGGTTATCTACAACTTGACCAGAACTCTTATAAGCTCCCCGGAATTCCACCTGGGCCGCATTGTCAGCCTAAAACTCAAATCCAACACCTCGCCTCCTCCATCACATCAGTGGCTTCCTACCCCACTGCCCTGAGGACAAAGCCCAACTCCCTGGTACGGGTCCATTTCCCATCTGTCTCCTGCTACATTCCCCGTGAACCTGCCAGAACCCCTTTGATCCTCTCTGACCCTCCCCCCCCCCCAGAGCTTTGTGTCCACCATTCCTGCTGCCCGGAACTCACCCCACCACACTCCCCGCCACCAGGGCTCGGCTGAGAGGTCCCTCTCTTCAGAAAGGCCACCCTGACTGCCCACACCCCAGTCTACCCCGCACCCCCCAACACACTGGCATTAAAGCACTAATCGCCACGCATCCCCAATGCCTGGCACTGCACCTGGCACAGAATGTGCGCATTAGTATCCTTGTCTGTCCCCTGGATGCTTTCACAGCCCAGACCATCCCTACCATGGCCCCCACCCACCCCACCCCCGCTGAGCCTATATAAGCACCATAATGGAAACGCTCGTGTGTGGGTCCCAGCACCCAGAGCAGTGCTTGGTACATAGTAGGCCCTCAGCAGCGTCAAATCTTTGTAGTTGAACAAAGCGGAGTTTCCGGAAGGGAAAATGTTTTGAGCTTCCTGCTTTACGTGCAATGGGGCAAGGCCGCCACTAGAGGGCAGCAGGCATGTGTTTCCCCAGCGCAGACTCCACCCCATCCCCGGTGCTGCCAGCAGCCCAGGCACCTTCCGCAAGCTCTTCCTGGTGCCTTCTCCTCTTGCTCCCTTTGCAACCCGGGCCTCACGGCACTGCCAGCGCCACTCGGTTAGCTTAGCTGCGTCTGTGACTGCTGCAGCGGCTCTCAACCCAGACCAGCAGCCAACGACCAGAGCGCTTTGCCTGCACGGCCTCCAGGCCGGCCCTTGACCCTGTCCCTGAGCTGATCCAACCCTCCAGGCCCTGCATGAGCTGCCCTCTCCCACACACAGACTCTGACTACCAGAGGGAGCCAGCAAAACTGGTCCCTCTTCCCATGACCTCCTCTCCTTGATGCCTGCCTACCCCTCCCCACACCCAGGAACCCCAGGCCTTGTGGCTTCCCCTCTCTGCCCCTTCCTCCGCCCTTCCAGACTCCCTTCCAGCCAGACACCCTTCCAGCCAGACACCCATCATCTCAATGCAACTAAATTGCATAGAAGTTAGAAGCGGAGGCTGGGCTAATTCACGCTAAGGTATAAATGGGTGATGGGTTTACACCACTTCTGAATACTCCAAAGTTTAATGCCCTAAGGCTTCCAAACCTGTAATGTCCCCAAATGAAGGACTCTAGGCCCTGGGCTGGTGACTGATGATTTCATATGTCATGGCACAGTCTCTGTACACACCAGAGAGGCATTTGGAGGCCTACAAACGCTGCATCCACTCATTCTGACTATTGAGGCAGCTATGAGGCTATTGTTTAAAAGGACCACAACCCAAATGCAGATTATGAGGGTGTATAGAATGTGTCCAGTGGCCAATACCTCCCAAGGCAGACTGTGCTTCTGACCCCACCCCAGCGACACCCCTCCCCCACCAAGCCTGAGCCACACCCAGCCCTGCACCTCCCTTTCGGTACCGTGATCCTTACTGACTCCAGATGGCTGTGACCCAGAGCAGTCACCCAAGTCCAAGGCTACTAGCCACACCTCTCCCTGTGTCAGTCAACATTTCAAACGTGGGTTAGCCCCGCCCCAGCCATGCGGACATCCAAGCTGTTAATAGGAACAGTAAGGAGTGTTAGACCTGTTGTTAGTCAGAAGGAAATCCACAAGCCGTTAGTTTCTGCTGAGAGGAACAGACCGGGAGGGCAGGAGTTAGTGGAGGTGAAGGAGCGGTTAATGAAGAGCCAGGCCAGGAGCCTGGAGCCCCCAGATGGGCAGGGTCGGCTATTAGCGAGTGGTCAGCCCCGGGGGGTGGGGCAGCCAGGGCAAGGCAGGGGTTAGCTGGGTGAGAGCAATGGTTAGTGCGAGGGAGCCAGAGATTAGCCCAAAGAGACCGCGGTGCCTACTGGAGGTGAGGCATAGGATCACCCCCAGGTGTGGCCCTGGCCTAGCGGCTGGCGGGCTCTGGGGGAGGCCGGCGGGGACTAGGGTGTGGGTCGGAGCAGCACGGGGAGCCAGGGCTGAGCTCCTGGCTGGCCTGCGGGGCTGCAGGACCCTGCAGGGCCCTGGGGTTCACGTCTTGCTTCCCACATTTCCTCCTGCAAACTCCAAACCCAGGGAGGACCTGCTTTCTTCCCAGGCCTCCTCCATGACCTCTGGTAAGAAAAAAGGGCCCTATCGACTCCCGGTGTGGGGAAGTCCGATATCCCAGCCTTGGGCATGGGGGAAGGGCCCCTCTAGCCCTCTGCCTGTTGCAGGAGCAGCCCCTCTCACTGGTCTCTTGGCCATGACCTCTCACTGCCTGTGCTAAGGCCCAAGGTCCCCTCGGGATGACTACTTCCCATCCTTCAAATATGGGAAATGCCCCCTCTGGCTGACTTCCGGCACGAAATGCTCCCCTCAGTGATGTCGAGTTCGGGAAGCATCCTTTTTATTGACTTCCCGTGCGGGGACCCCTCCCCCCTCATTGACTCCTGTGCGTCCACTTCCCATGGGGAAGATCCTCCCTCCGCTGCCCTGCGAAGAGGGACACCCCGGGCCCTTCTCTCTGCTCCCTGGGCTGGGAAACGCCCAGTGCTCCACACTGTAGACCCACAGGCCTCCACACCCACCCCCGAGGATTCCCTGGTCCCACCCGGTCCCTGTGGCAACCAGACCCGGCACAGGAGAGGCTCATACTCAGAGGCCAGCCTCCCGGGTGCACATGACCGCCCCGTCCTCCGGGCCACTGGGATGGTCCGTGGGCTGTCCCCCCACCTCAGACCTGGCCCAATGGGCTCAACTCACAGCCAATTGGGGCAGCCAAGTGGAGCGTCTGTCTGCAGGGCCAGCCCCGGGGACATCCGCTTGCCAAAAGGAGGTAGGACCAGCCCCCAGGGGGGCCCAGAGCTCGGCAGGGCTGGGGTTAGTAAGAAGAGAAAAGAGGGTTAGTAGGGGCTGGGTTAGTAAGTCAGAGCACAGCACCAGCAGACAGGGGCACCGCAGCCGCACACACGGAGTCACTAGGAGAAAAGGAGGAACACACGTGGGTCCGTTAGTCTGTTAAGGGACGGTCGGGGTGCACTCGAGGCACCCCCAGGTTAGTAACCGAACAAAAGAGCTGCCTACAGAAAAGAAAGCTGAGGAGGAGGAAGAGTGGGGGGAAGAGACGGTTAGGGGTTCCAAGCGAGTGTGTGGCCGCAGGCAGCAGGGTCTGTGTGCAGGACACCCAGAGGGGCCAGGGCCTGGGCGGGGGTCATGATCAACCAGGTGGTCTGGGCCTCCCACCCCCACCCTAACCCTTTTTTTCTTAAGTTTCTGCCAGGTGTCAAGACCTCACTATTCACGGGACTCCTCACTGAAACCTGAGAGGTAAGGACCAGTCGCCCAGGCTACTGCTCAGGGTTCAGAGAGGTGAGGTGACTCGCTGATGGGCGCCCAGCAGGAAGGGGCCGACCGGTGAGTCCCATTGCACGCCCTGCCCTGGAAGGTGGGTCTGCACAGAGATCCCGGGCCATGGGCGGGGCCTGCTGGAGCCTCGTCCGCCCCCACGTCCCAGCCCCTTTCAAGGCCCTTGAGCTGCGAGGTTAGTAGGGTCTGGCTGCGGGGAGTTAGTAAGGCATGCTCGGGCCTGGTTAGTGGGTTAGGGCCTGGTTAGTGGGTTAGTCGGTTGGCAGAAGGCCAGGCACCTCGTCACACGCCACAGCGTCCCGGCCGAGCCCTGGGTTAGTAGGTTAATCACCTCATGCAACACTGCCCGGGCCTCTCCGGCTGCAGCCCGCGGCCTCCCGCCCCCTCCAGCCAGCGAGCTGGGCCTGACCAGGGCAGGGGGCCTGCCTCCCAACCCCTCCGCCCACCAGAACCAAACCTATCCACGTGGACCCGGCCCAGAAGCACGGTGCTTCTTGACTGTGGGCCTCAAAGACCCTCCCACCAAACACTCCAGTTCCCCTGCAAATTAGACCCTGCTTGTCCTGGCTAGAACCCCCTGCCTGCTTCTGGTCAGCCCCTTCCCAGGGGGCTGGATCCTGTCACACTCACGCACGCACACGCACACACCAGCGTCTTCCCACAAAAGGCCAGCTGCCCCAGAACCACCATGTCCAGTGGACTTTCTCTTCCAATCACCAACAGCCAGGCCTCTGGCTGCTCCAACCACTAGCCTGTCTCCTCCTCCTCCTCCTCCTCCCAAAGCTGCACAGAGCTCACGAACACCCAGAACCAAGGTCAGACTTCCCTGCCCCTCCGGGTCTGTGGCCTCTCCAGAGCTGATGCCGCAAAGCACCTGTGTGTGCCCTACTTATGTCGTCTCCTGTCCTTGCTGTGGTTTTCCCACAGAAACCCCAGCGTTTCCCATCTCTAAATGACGCTCTGTAAAAAATAAAATAAAAAAGATTCTGCCCCGTCAAGGTTGGGGGAAAACACCTCATCCGCTATCTATCCTTGAGGACGCACGATTCCCACCAGCCTTGTAAAGGCTCTGATAAGTCCTGCACTACAGATGCCTGTTGAAGTTGAACTCACTTTTTTAAAAAAAGCAATGACGTCTAGAACTCACCTTTGGGATCTCTGCTCTGATTCCCCAGGCCCCTCACCCCTAGTGGAAGCTCTCAGCTAAGCCACCTTTCTCATCCCTCAAGGACCTGACTGGGTCGGCCTTGCTGGGGAGCCCGTCTAGACTGCTACAGCCTACTCTGGGGTTTTCCTCCCACGCTCTCCGCGGACTGACTTCTGCCCCATTCTCCAGTTCTCTGTGGGGAGCGGGTCTTCTCCCCCACAGCACGGCAGTGACATCCTGAAGGCTGGAACCTCGCCCCCACGTGGCTAACACAGGAAAGGGCTCACGGTAGATGCTCAAGACTGATGCCACTAGAATTGAAACACCCCAGGACGCTTTGGGGCTACCACGGAGGCCGTGAAAAGCAGCCACTTCCCCAAGCTGCTTCGAGAGGGATCTTGAGAGAACAGGCAGGGGAAGGGCTAGTCAGAGATGCCTCTGCACCTGCAGATGCTGAGATTACACCAGATGCCGAACACAGGCAAGTCCTAGATCTCAACTCCAGGTGGGCGGGCATGTTTAGGGAGCCATGATTCGGAGGCAGACACTGCGCAAGCACTTGACTCTGCGGAATCCCTGCTGCGGCCCCCAGGGGAGCAGATGGCCCCTGTTGCAGCTTGGAAATCAGACTCACTGAGGGGAGGTTGTACAGCAGAGCACGCACCCTCGGTGCAAAGCCCAGGCTCTTCCCAGAACATCCCTCTCCCAGGGACTCCTCCTCACTGCCCTGGGGGCCCCCAAGGCACCCGGGGCCACCCTAGCCAGGGAGGGGATGGTGAAGAGGAGATGGCTCCTGCTTTTCATGTTTGTGGTGAACCCCTATTACAGACTAAACTGTGTCCCTCCCCAAAGCCATTAGTTTAAGCCATAACCCCCCCCAATGTGACTATATTTGGAGATGGGGTACCTTAAAGAGGTAGTTCAGGTTAAATGAGGTCATAAGGGTGGGGCCCTAACCTGATAGGACTGGTGTCCTTATGAAAAGAAGAAGAGACACCAAATGTATCCCCCCAGGTGTGTGCCCAGAGAAAAGGCCACATGAGGACACCAAGAAGGTGGCCGTCTGCAAGCTGAGGAGAGAGGCCGCAGGAGAAAGCAGCCCTGGCACCGGGATGGACTTCCAGCTTCAGAACTGTGAGGAAATCCATGTGTGCTTCCCATCTGTCCTGGCAGCTCGCGTTGACTGGCACAGGCCCCCTCCCACCCTGGGAAAACAAGGCCTAGCTCTCCACTTGCCTCAGGGAGTTCCCTGGCAGCTCCCCTCTGGACGCGGCTGGACGGGGAGTGGGGAGGTGGGCATGGAGGTGAGCCAGTGCGTGCCTGCGTGGGGCCTGCCCTGCCTGCCTTTGCCCCCCGGGGCAGAATCGAGGACTGCTGCAGGGAGCAGGGGTCTGAGACCCGGCCCGGCCCCTTCAGGTGGTGGGAACGAGGCCCAGTGTCCGTCTCCTTCTGGCGAGTCCCCTGGCCTGGGTCTCCTCCCCTCTGGGAAACAAACCCTCTCCTTTCAGGATAGCACACCAATTGCTATCCCCCCTCCCCCCTCCCACCACCACCACCACTGCCAGCTGCCCCTCCAGGAGCCCACAACATGGGGAGAAGGCCCAGGCTCCGCCCAGACCCTGACTGCCTCCTCCCAGTGACCATCAGAAAGAGGAGGTGCCCGGAAAATCCCCATCCAAAAGGCGGCCCCGAAATGAGAATCACTCACAAGGCAAATGGCACGAGACAAATGCCAGCGACAGCGCCCACTGAGCCGCATCCGCCCTCCCTCCCACTGGCAGCTCCTCCCCACTCCCATTCCATGTTCCCATCCCATCCCATGCCCCCCCTATTTGGTAGGGTCCTTGGGACCTGGTCTTGGGGAGGGTGCAGTCAGGGCCTCTGCCCCGGCCAGGCTCCCCCTGAGCACCAGCAGAGATTCAAGGGGAAGCCACGTCTGCCCAAGGTCAGGAAGTGACCGCCAGGCCCAGACAGGAAGGCCCAGAAGGGGAGGGCGGGCCGCTGGGCTGCCCTCCCACCCTCGAGCCGGCCTCCCTAGCCAGGTCCTGATTTCGCTGATCCTCGACCAGGGGGCCCGTTATCCATCCACGAGAGTCTGCATCCCAGGGGGTGGGAAGACTAAGGTCTTGGGAGAATTGTCCAGGCTTCCGGAAAACCGCCGAAGGCTGCTCCCTGCGTCCCTGCGGCCAGGTCCCCCAGGCTCCAAAGACAAGACCAGGCCGGAGTCCTGAGCATGCGGAGCCACCTGGGGAAGGCACGAGTGAGAGGATAAGGGCACGGCCTCCATCCCCAGACCCCTAGCCTCCCAACCTTACCCCACATCTGAGGGCGGCTGCCCTCCTGTGCCCCCAGCACCTAGACAGGGTGCGGGTGGGAGCTCCGAACACTACTAGGAACAGGAAGTGGTGAGAGCCGTGGATGCCCCGCCTTGAGAGGGCTACCTGGGAGGATGACGAAGCAATAATGGGAGCCCAGAGCCAGCCCCTGGGCATCACCAGAGAAGGGGCAAGGGTTCCGGCGGGCAGAGAGGGCCTCAGAGCCCTGGGGAGGCCTGGGTTCCTTCCACAACATTCCCTCCAAGGAGACCTCTGCAGCCCCCTCTCGAAATACACCCCCCCACACACACACGTGCATACCTCCCAGGACGGGGAGCTCACTCCCTTGCTGAGACTGGGATCAGGCACATGGTCACGGGATGATCTGAGAGGGCAGAACCATGCACGGGCCTGGTGTTCACGTCCGGATCCGCAGGCTGGGAGAAGGGCTCGGTCGGTGTTGGTGCTGAATGAAGGAAGGTGCTGAAATCTCAGCCATCGACCCACTGACCCACGCTAGGACCACACAGAACAAGCCTCCAGCGCCCTGGCTCCCAGGAGCTCCAGTGTCCGGCCAGGCCCAGACCTAGGGAGGGTTTGGGGTGAAGGAAGAATTCCCCTCCCCCCGCCCACTCCATGAAATAAGTTCCATGGACCTTCTCCACCCCACGCCTACCCAGACTTACCCGGCAGCGCCCAGGCAACGCGCTGGCATCCAGGACCCAGCTCCCGGCTCCCACGTGGACCCCCACAGGCCCATCCTGGAAGACAGAGGAGCCAACCACACTGCAGGAAGAAACCGCAACCAGGCCCCTCCCCGGGCCCGGGCCCGGGCCGGGCTCGCCGCTCACCAGCCTATTCCCAGAGCTTGCGGTCAGCACCGGGATTGGGCACGGGTCCGGGGTGTGGGGCAGGGGTACTGAGCCCCCTGCCCTGAGAACAATGTGCCCTCCAGGCGCGGTGCTGGGTCCCCACGTGACTGCCAAGCAGAGGAGCCCTGGCCGAGTCTTATCAACATGATGACAAAGGGCCAGGACCGAGAAGAGCAGGCAGGCCAGCCACCGGGAGTCCCCCCACCTCCTCCTGATGCCAGCTCCGCGTGCGGTGACAAAGTAACTAACTCAGCTCCTCACAACTTCCCGATGGTGGCGTTTATACAATACTCGCCTCGAGGCCACAAGCGGGGTGCGAAAATGACCCATTGCGGGGCCCCAGAAAGTGGGGACCAGCCCCTTCTTTGTGGCATAGAGGGAGGAAAGTGAAGGAGCTGCATCACCAATCTCCCCTCCCACTGGGGGTCCCGGGATACCACACTTCCCTGCACAGACCAGCACAGGGCAGGCTGGTCGGCTGCAGGCTGGTCAGCTTGAATACTTATCTGCAAGGATGCTTCCCGCATGGTCTTGACCGTCAGAAGCTCTCAGACATCCCCTCCTCTCACTTCTGCCCCAGGAACTGGCTGCACTCTGTAAAGAGACCCTCAGAGGAGCATCGTGTGACCCCAACATCCCTTTCTCCTGGCCCCTGTCCGTGTGCCCAGGAGTCTGATGGCCATAAGGCGGTGGAATTTTCAAGGGCAACTTTAGCTCCTAGGTCAAGCCGACAGCTGGCTAGGAGGGCAGAGAGGAAGGCTTTGAGGTCAAACATGGGAGACTATGGTCTCCAACCCCACATATCCAATATATGACTCACAATTAATCCTCAGGTTTAGCCCCTGCCTGGCACACAGTAAGTGTTCCAAAAATACTTTTGCTAAGCCCAGCTGGTGTGGCTCAGGGGTTGAGTGTTGACCCATGAACCAGCAGGTCGAGGTTCAATTCCTGGTCAGGGCACATGCCCAGGTTTGGGCTTGATCCCCAGTAGGGGGCATGGAGGAGGCAGCCGATCCATGATTCTCTCTCATCATTGATGTTTCTATCTCTCCCTCTCCTTTCCTCTCTTTTGTTTTCAAAAGCCGTTTAGATGTGTTGACAGAGGACAAGCACCAAGAAGGGCCAGGTGAAAGGCCATACAGAGACCTGATGGGGGGCCCGGATACCCAGCATCTCAGCTCCCATTGGCCCACATGAGCGACACCCCACCCACCTGAGGCCAAGGTCAGTGCCCCATGAGGAAAGCTTTGACTGAGGGACTGGACCCCAGAGATTCCTAGGGGTCCCTCCTACCTCTGAGAGTCAGGTCTCAGCGTGTACGGATCTCATGGTGGACGGGGTGCAGAGCCTGACGCTGGTCTGTACGGTCCCGCGGGTGCACAGGAGAGGAAAGGTCATCTTGGTTACTCCTTTGATGCTGTGAGGGCCATGGTGGCGTTGTGACATGTCTGGAACTCCTGTCATCAAGAGAGAGACGGGGGGTGGAAATACTGGTATATAGGTACCCGTGGGCACGTTGGAGAATAGATGCCAGGGGTCCTGGTCTGACATCACAGCCTGTGCCACAAACTGATCTCTTTGGATGCAGATCAGAAGTCAAACAGGAAACTGGCCCGGCTGGCATGGCTCAGTGGTTGAGCATCGACCTATGAACCAGGAGGTCACAGGTTCCATTCCAGGTCAGGGCACATGCCCAGGTTTCAGGCTTGATCCCCAGTGCAGGGCGTGCAGGAGGCAGCCGATCCATGGTTCTCTCTCATCATTGATGTTTCTCTCTCTCTCTCTCTCCCTCTCCCTTCCTCTCTGAAATCAATACAAACATATATTTTTAAAAAGAAGTCAAGCAGGGAACTGACAGGTATCTTGGTCAGGCCAGTGCCAATCAGAACAGCCTAATGCCCTGGGAAAATAGGACTTTACCGCACGGATCCCTGTCTTGCTCTGCCCCCTGGGCGGGAGCATCACCCCTCTGGGCCTGGCTTCGTACCCAGCACCTGGGACAGTCAGTGCCTGCCTCCCAAGGCCGTTGTGAAGACTAAATGGGGCAATGAGTATGATCTATCCACTCGCGCTCTATGGCTCCTGCCCTTGTCCACGCTGCTCATTGACACCACCCATGGGCCATCCATTTCCCCCCTGAGCTCTGCGCTCCATCCCTGGTCATGAAGGAACGGCTGCCAGGAAAACATGCATTCGGTTGCACTTTAGGATCCCTCTGGCTGTGGGTTTTTCCCTGACTCGGGGATAAAATAGCTGCCCGGAGACGGGAGGCACACGGGAGAAGTTGGCCTAAATTGCTTTGCTTGAGTGAGTGCCGAGGAATAACAGGCTGAGCAGGGGCGCTGCGGGCTGAGGGGGACCGAGGCTTCAGAGCGGCGGAATGCGCTGTTTCTGGACAAAGTCAAACAACATGCACAAAAGAGGGGCTTCGGACTTCAAGTCCCCCTCACACCAGGGAGCCTCTGAGCTGTGTGGGGAGGAGAGAAAAGAGAAAAGCAAGAAGGAGGGGAAGGAAAGGAAGCTAACATTTCCTGAGGACAGATACTGACTGGGGGCACCTTTATCCACCTGACAAAACAAGACTTGGGTTTCATTGTCCCCATTTTACAGATGGGGAAACTGAGGCTCGGGGTAAAGTGCGTTGCTCCTCGGTCACCCAGGGAGAAAATGGTGCCAATGGATTGTAAACAGGCCTGTTGAACCCCAAAGGGGCAGAAGGCTTCCGTTCAAATGCAGGGGGTTGAGGGGGAGGCTTAAAGGAGAAAAGGCCTGGGGAAGGTATGCGTACCTGGCGGACACCGTGGGCATCAGCGTTACTATTACTGTGAAGAAACTGGACCGCGGTTGTTAAACCATCTTGGATCGGTTTACTCTAATCGCTTCTATGGACTTGAGGCAACTGAGTTCGCTTTTAGGAGAGAGAGGTGGTATTGTCGTGTAGCAGTGACAAACACACGGTTCCGAGTTGTACCAGATTCAAGTTCAAATCCTGACTCTACAGCTAACGTGCTGTGTGACTCTGAGCTGGTCGCTTCACCTCTCTGAGCCTTCGCTTCTCATCTGTCAGGCCCAGCTCCCAGGCTCATCATGGGGTCTCCATGAGGCAGGGTCCAGCCGGAACCTCGGCAAATGGTTACTAAATGGGAGCTCGCATTGGTTCCCAAGAATGATCTGCTCCACCCCGCTGGGCACACGGCAGTTCAGCCCCGCCCTCGCCTTCAGGACTCATGGGGCAGCCTTCTGAGGGGCCCGCCTGGCACCACAAGGGAGAAGGGGACACCTGCCGCATCTGATCCAATCAGATCCAATCAGCCGACAGAGGGCTGGGGAGACAGATGTCACCCTCATCCGCCTTTGCCTCTGCCCCTGAGTATCTCTGGCTATTGTTCAGAGCTCCAGCTGACAGATGAGCCAGGCTGCAGACAGGAGGAAGGATGCCCGGGGGACAAAGGGCTCTGCTATAAGTTATTCACCAGCCCATTGAACCTGCACAATGGGCCCAGTGCTCCAGAAACACGACACTCAAACAGCCCCAGGGTCACCCCAAGAACCAACAGCCCAATACAAATAAAAGCAAATAACTAAGTATCTATACAAACTGGGGGGGGGGGGGGGGGGGGGCTGAGTAAGTGAGCTCAGCCTGAACACAGTGGGTGCACTACAGCAGCCGTGTCTGTATTAAGCACCTACTGGGCGTCAGGCATTTTACACACACTGGTTCATAACCTCACAACGGCTTTTTAAATCGGGGACTCTGATTCCCACTTTACAGAGAAGGAGACTGAGGCTCAGAGAAGGGAAATGGCCTCCTTCCTGAGGCTGACACAGGGTATAGGGGGAGAGGATAGTGTGGCTCTCAGTCCTTCCTCTTCCCACCACACCATGCTGCCTCAGTGATACATTCAGAGCATAATCCTGCTCTGGCGGAAGCGTGGAGAGAAAGGGCCAGAGAAAAGGACTTAAACCTGAAGGAGTAAAAAAAAAAAAAAAAAAAAAAAACTAGCAGGTCTCACAATAGGGAGCTGAGTAGCGTGAGCATGTCTGCTTCATGAAACACCAGTCCTCTGACAATGCGGCTAAAACCACCCAGAAACTCATCCCATGTGACCCGTTAAAGCGGCATACGGGTAGCACAGCTTCAATTAGTATTTCCAGTAACAGAAATGGATGCCGGAAGAAAACGCATGAAAATGGTCGGTACAGAAGTTATTCTTGGTGATGAAACTACGGACTCTTCTTCCCTTTCCCCCTAGAGCTCCTCCAATTATCACGCATTTTATTAAACTTAGGAAATTCGTAAAAGTCACCAAACGTTGTAACATTCTCATTTTGGAAGCAGGCATCGCTTGAGGGAGTGCTGAGAAATAGGGACGCTCCTGGGACAACAAGCTAAGCGGGGCAAGAAGGTTTCCAAATCTTTCTGGATGCCCAGGGTCATTGAATCATAACATACCTGGGCCTTATGGGCGGAGGGGATGCTACCTTTAAAATTCTTTCCGCGTGGAATTAACTACACGAAGCATGGGATGAGTTCAAGGCCACGCAAAGCTTGGGGGAGGAAACCATTCTGCACCGGGGTTCTGGGCGAGGGGGGAGGGGAGGGGTGGGGGGACTGTTCTCTCCACAGATGGTCTGACCACCTGCGCGAGGAGGAGCGGGAGGCCGGGGTCTGAGGACACACCCAGATGCCCAGCCCCACCCCGTCCTGCTGACTCATCCCCTGGCCACGTGGCCCGGGCGCCTGCGTATTGGGAGCCCCGCCCCTGAAGTCTCAGCGCCGTGGTCCTCAGGCCTCCCTGTCCGTCAAGTGGAGTGAGTTACTCATCCCCGGCCCCCAGCCCCCACCCCGGACCCAGGATCGCGACGCCCCCAGGCGCTCCCAAACAGGAACGCGCTTTGGGAAGTAAAGCCGTGCGCCCCTGGGCAGTGGTCTGGCTGCGGCTGGAGAAAAACAAAGCCGCTTCCCGCACTTTATCCCGCCTTTCTCTCCCCACCCTCCTCGCTTCCCCCAGCAGCAGGTGGGGGTGTTTTCCCCGCGGCCGCACCGCAGTGGGGTGTGCGCGCCGGCGATTCCCGGCGCGCGGCAGCCACCGGTCTGGAGCCTGGGATGAGGGTGGGGAATCCAGGCTCTCGGGGCCTCCCCCTGCACAGACTTAGAGGCAATTTCTCTAGCCCAGGGCCCTCCGCTGGGGGAGAGGAGAGATCTGGCGCCTCCCTGCCCGGTTCCCAGCCTCTCCAGACGGAATGCATTGGCGAGGAGAGATGGGGAGGGAGCTGGTGCGCTCTGGGGTCTTCTCGGTCCCGTTTGGGGGTGTAACCTGGGCTTCAGGGTCCAACCTATCTGGATTCAAAATCACTGGCTGTGTGACCTTGGACGCGTCCCTCGCCCTCTCTGGATCTCAGTGTCCTCATCCTTAAAATGGGGTTCTTGCCACCCCGCGGGACTGTGGTGATCGCGCAGGCAAAGCACCGCGCAGGTTGGCACAGAGCAACCTCTGCGTAAACTGATGTGTTATTACCGTTATCGATGCCGTTATTCTCAACGAAGGCGGTTGTCTGGCCCTGTCCACCCCTTGGGAGCCGCGCACGGGACGCTGGACACCTGGGATTTGAGTCATTGGCGGGCGCCAGCGGGGAGAGTAGTATCGGTGTGAGGGAGGGGGGCTCCAGGACCCCGCTCCGCCAACTCTTCCAACCCGTCCACACCCCCAGTTCTGAGACCACTGGGCTCTGTCCAAGACCTGGCCAGTTAACGGCGAACCTGGTGAGCCGACAAGGTCTGGGGTCCCCTGGTGTCCGTCTGGCAGGGGGGTGGGAGAGTCTTTGTTCCCCACCCTCACTGGGCTCCCAGCGCATCCTTCCGTTTTCCTTCCCCGCGCCCCACCCAAGCCGGGGTCTCAGCTGCATCTGACAACTGCGGGCTGGAGGGGGAGGCTCTTCATCCATCAAATCGGGGCTCTTGGGGCGCCTTTGCCACCCCCTGACCCCTGCCTGGGACCCTGGGACCCTGGGACCCTGGGACCCTGGGACCTACCCTCGGGGAATTAAGCTGTTCCCGGCGCGGGGACGCGGTGCTTGGGGAGGGGTGGCCGTGAGGATGGGGCGGCGGCTTACCTCGGGTCGGCAGTCCTGCGGCGCGAGTGCAGAGGGCTCTTTGTGCCCAGGCTCCCAGCGCAGAACTGGGGGAGCCCCTGCAGGCGCCTCCCCTCGCAAACTCCTCCCCGCACTCGTCCGCAGCCTCCCGCCCTCCCTCCCTCCGGTCCCCCGAGCGCAGCCGGCGTCGTCTTTGTAGCTGCTGCAGAGCCCGAGAAATTTTAATGCGGGAGCGCCTGGCAGGCAGAGGAGCCCCACCCCCGGCTCTCGCCCCGGCCTTCCTCCCTCCTCCCCGCGCCCTGCCACGCCACACCCTCCCCTCTACCTCCTCCCGGAGGTCCGGGCCAGGGGGGCAGGGTGCAGCCCGCAGTGGGGGGAGCACACCGCCGCCCCCCACCGCACAAAGGGACCAGCCCCGAAGCAGCGCGCTCTGTCTCCAGCATCCCGGCCCCGAGGCGCTGCCATGGCAACGTGTACCCAGCTGGACTCTGCCCCGGAGCGCGCAGGGATGGAGAGGCGCGCGTGCGGTGCGCGACCCCGCAGCCCCAGGAGCAGAACTCTGGGCCCTGGCGTATGAGGACCGGTCCTGCCGTATCAGCTGCGCAACCCGCACAGCCTGGGTGTATGCCTCTCAATTAACCCCGCTAGATGGCCAAGTGCTTATGGTGGAGTGAAGATTTGAACCTTCGTCTGAGTCTTCATGCCCATGTTCTTGCCACCACATCGCTTGGCCTAACTTCTATAGAATCTTTCTTTCTTTCTTTCTTTCTTTCTTTCTTTCTTTCTTTCTTTCTTTCTTTCTTTCTTTCTTCTTTCTTTTCAAAGAGGAAGGGAGAGGGAGAAAGAGACAGAAGCATCAATGATGAGAGAGAATCATTGATCAGCTGCCTCCAGCACGCCCCACACTGGGGATCGAGCCCACAACCCCAGGGCCAGCTGGAGTGTTGGTTGTCATGGCAATGGGAGGAGGCACCATCAGCCTGAAGATTCACTTCAGAATAAAGTTTGCCTCTTTCAGCTGGACTGGGTAGTGAACTCACCTGTTCCCATGAGACACCACAGCTTCAAGGATCCGCAAGCAAACGGTCTTTGGCTCATGACACCACTCAGCACCCCAAGGTTTCCAGGGGCAGGTGTCTCTACAACCAAGAAGATCAGCATTTCGTGTGGCTCCCGGCGCCCCCCCCCCTTCCCCCCAAAAAATATGCATTTCAACAATTTCCAGTAACTACAGAATTCCCCTGTAACCACCTTCAGATGTAATGAACTTGACCCCTTGACCCTTACTTCACACTCGAAGTGCCCACAGACACCCTCTGGGGAAGTGCTGATATCCCCTCTAGCTGACAGATAAGGAAAGTGAGGCTCAGAGAGGGGAAGCGACTTACCCAAGCTCAGCCAGCTAGAACACGGGGAAGCTCTGGCTGCTTCTAGAAGCTTCGCTCGCTCGGAAGGTCTGAAAACCTGTCTGCATTCACGCTCCCACGCCCTTCCCCTGGGAGGGATGCACAGCCCCACCGCTGCTGGACAATGACCCTGCCGCCTTGTGGGGGTCACTCTGGTGTCTGCAATTGCCCTCAGTCCAGGAGGGACATCACTGGTTCAAGATCATGGCCATGGATGAGCACAGTCCAGTGTTCACCAGAGTCCTATCGCTGTCCTGCCCCCAGAGGCTGCCTTGTTGTGTGAAGGCCAGCAGTCCCGCTAGGTAAGGCAGGAATCCTAGCCCGAGACAAGGATCCAAGTGCATGTGGTTCATTTGGGACGTGATCCCAGGAAGCATTGGTGACGGAGGAGAGCAGTGAGACGGGGAAGAGAAGAAACCAGAGCAGGTGCCTTAATGAGTGTATTGGTCAGACTGGGTGGCCTAACAGGAACTTATTTTCTCACAGTTCTGACGGCTAGAAGTCCACGGTCAAGGTGCCAGTAGGGTTGGTTTTTCCTGAGGCCTCTCTCCTGGTCTTGCAGACGGCCACCTTCTCACTGTCCTCACATGGCCCCTCTATCTGCACACCCCTGGGGTCTCTTCCCCTTCTCATAAGGGCCCCAGTTCTACTGGGGAAGGGCCCACCCTCTGACCCCATTGAATCTTAACAACCCCTATCGCCAAGTCCAGTCGCGGTGGGGAGTGTGGGCTTCGACATGTGAATTTCAGAGGGACACAGTTCAGTCCACAGCAATGAGCGTGTCAGGTGGGCAACCAGGGCTCAGTCCTGCTGCGGCCCCGTGTGGGACACACCTGAGTGGTGAGGTCAAGGACGCCAGGGTACTTACATACCTACTCCTTTTTTGTTGTTGTGCTCACCCAAGGATATTTTTCCATTGATTTCTTTAGAAAGGGTGGAAGGAAGGGAAGAGGGAGAGAGAGAGAGAGAGAGAGAGAGAGAGAGAGAGAGAGAGAGAGAGAGAGAGAGAAACATCATGTGAGAGAGACACCTTGATCGGTTGCCTCACCCATGGGCCCAGACCAGGGGCCAGGGATCGAACCTGCAACCCAGGTACAGTCACTCTCTTTATCATCAGACCTTGTCTCCATCCCCAGGATCTAGAAGCAATACCCTCAACTTTGTGCAGTCCATGATCTCTTTTCCTTTAAGCAAAAGTCCAGTGGGACTGGTGGGGTTTGGGGCCCACCGGGGCCCCCCAACCTCTCCTTTTACGGCGCCCAGATCACGGCTGAGAGACAAGCAGGCCTCGCTGGAGGCCCGGGAGCCTGCCTGCCTCTGCCCCCTCCTTTGTCTCCAGCATGTGTGTGCTTTGTGGCCGCGGCCTGCGTCCCCGCTGCTGCTTTGTCTCGGCTTTTGTGTCCAGACAACAGCGAAGAGGGCAGAGCATGTGCCGCTCTCATCCACCCCGTCCCGTCCTCCATCTGTCCATCTGCACGCCGCCGCCTCCAGACGCCCTGCACCTGCTGCCCGGCCTCCAGCCGCCCCGGCAGGTGCAGCTGCCCAGCTTCTCCCTGCTGCTGCCCAGAGAAAGGCAGGAAGCACAGGCTGCAGCCGCCAGCACAGCGGCGGCATCTTCCCCTCCCGGGCCTCCTGCCTCATCTCTCCCGTGAATTCAGATTTCAGATGCTGGCAGAGCGGGGGGGGGGGGGGGGGCAAGAAGGACTTAGGGTGGGGACAGAAGCCTGGAGCAGACTCTACAAAGATGCACACACCCCTGATGGGTCATCCTCCCCTCCCTCTCCCTCACCCCAGCCCATGAATGTGCCCTCTTGAACCTGTCACCAAGCCATCCGTACCCCACCAATTGCCACCGTAGCTTCGGTCTCCTTCACCCCCTACTGTGACCTCCGCTTCCACTCCAGGCCTTCCAATCCGGTCCCCACCCAGGCCAGACGATGCTCCAAAGGCAGAGCTGACCTCGCCCTCCCCTGCCCACAGCCCTTCAGTGACAGCCCACTGGTCTCCGGTGAGAAGCAAGCTCTTGGCTTTACCCTGCAAGGCCCACCCTGGCTGCCTTGCTAGCGATGGACATTACTTTGAATAAAGCACTTTCCATGTTTCTCTTGAAGTTACTGTGTTTTCTTTGATTACAAAATCCGCATTTTTTTTATATATATTTTTTATTGATTTTTTACAGAGAGGAAGAGAGAGAGACAGAGAGTTAGAAACATCGATGAGAGAGAAACATCGATCAGCTGCCTCCTGCACATCTCCCACTAGGGATGTGCCCACAACCCAGGCACATGCCCTTGACCGGAATCGAACCCGGGACCCTTCAGTCCACAGGCCAACGCTCTATTCACTGAGCCAAACCGGTTTCGGCCAAAATCCGCATTTTTAACCAGTTAACAGCTACTTATAACTGGTTAAAAATTCGCATACTGGTTAAAAATGCAGATTAGCTATTAACCGGTTAAAAATGCGGATTTTGTAATCAAAGAAAACACGATAATTTCAAGAGAAACATCGAAAGTGCTTTATTCACAGTAATGCCCATCGCTAGCTACGCATTTCCCCCATCTTTCAGGTAATTTGTGGATACCGTCCCAATAGAACTTTTCTTGTTTTGAGGCAGACGATTCAGAGACCTGATTTTCCACTTCTTCGTACGTTTTGAAGTGCTGCTCAGAAAGTGCGTGTGCCATCGATGGGAACAAGTGGTCATCTGAAGGAGCAATACAACAGAATCGCATACATATCAGATTGCATCTATATCAACATATGTGTGACTCCATCTATTGAAAAAAATCTGCATTATTAGCCGGTCCACCTGGTAGCTATGACAGCCCCATGGTGCCAGGTATTGATAGCATCCGCATTTGACAGATGAGGAAACTGAGGCTAAAGGGACACAGCTAGAAGGTGCCTGAATCAAGATTCAGCCCCCACAGTCTGTATCCAGGCCCTGGCCTCCTGGAGCCCCCACCCCACTCTGGCCCCATTACATCATCCCCTGCCTGAGCCCCTGTGCAGTCCTCCCTGCCTCCCGCGGCTTCATCGAATGCAGCCGTCCCACCCCCACAGGGCCATGGCCACGCCGCAGCCACCCTGCAGAACAGCGCATTCTTTATTTATGAGATGCGTCTAGGCTCCCTGCAACTCAGCTGGGACTCTGTGGCGCCTGCAGTCAGGAGGCGGAGGGTTGTGAAGGCCAGCAGTCCTCCCGGGAGGCAGGCAGGGGCTGGGCTCAGGGCACCAGGCTCCAGCAATGGCAGCCTGCAGAGGCTAAAGTGGTCTGTTCTTTGGATGCCCTTTGCCTTACAGTCTGCCTGGGGCACGCAGCCAAGAGCCCTGGGGAGTGGAGAGATGGGAATAGGGTGGGAACTTATATTAACTGAGCATCTCCTGAAACCCACACAAAACCCTGCAAGGCAGGGAGTCGTGTGCCCATTTTACAGGAGAGGAAACTGAGGCTTGCAGAATGTTGGCAAGGTCTTTCTGAAGGGATAACCCTGACTTGTCCTTCCTGTTCCCACGAAAAAGAAGATATTTTCTTCTTCTTTTTTCTCTTTTTCCTAAAGGAGGGGGTTTAATATGGTTTATGAAGATGCCCTCAGCATCTAAATATCAAATAAGATAGAAAGTTCGGGCCAGAGGAAGGAATATGGAGTCAGGAATGGCGTTCCAAGCGCCTGCCACATGGTTCTATCCAGTTGCTAATAATCCTGTGGACATTGGCTCTGAGCATCCTGGCGGCCAATGAAAAAAGAGAAGGCAGTTAGTTTCCCAAGTTTCCAAGGTCGGCAAGAAGAAAGGAAACTAGATGTACAGGGACACCGTTGTGGCAAGAATTAAGAACACAGAAGGAATCTCAGGCCCTCTCATCACATCTCATATCTCTAATTTCCCAGAAACTGGCCCACTGATCCATTCTTTTTTAAAATATATATATATTTTTATTGATTTCAGAAAGGAAGGGAGAGGGAGAGAGAGATAGAAACATTAATGATGAGAGAGAATCATTGATCGCCTGCTCCCTGCACGCCCCCTACTGGGGATCGAACCCGCAACCAGGCATGTGCCCTTCACCAGAAATCAAACCCTGGACCCTTCAGTCTGTAGGCTGATGCTCTACCCACTGAGCCAAACCAGCTAGGGGGATCCTATCTTCATCTTTCCCTTTCCAGGGTTCCCAGAATGTAATCATTTTCTGACAGCAGGGTGTATTTCTGTGTCACCACCAGGTGGCGGTGCAGCACAAGTCTCAGGAGGCGGCTTCTTAGAACCGGAGACAGCCCATGCACCTGAGCGGCCTGGTGGTGGGCGGGGCCAGGGTGGGCCTGCGAAACCTCCGGGAGCTGGTGCCAAGCTTTGGACTGAACCTCAGCAAAGCCATCAGCCTCATGCTCGGCAGGGTCGCCCACAGGGGCTAGATTAGAAGGAAGTACCCTGGAGAGAGATTCGGGAGCCCGGGGTTCTCTGTGCCAACGTGGGCAGATCAACTTCTCGGCCTCAGTCTTCTCATCCGAGCAAGGGGGTGAATATGCCTGTTGGAGCAAGAGGAAACGGAGACAGGGATGGAGAATGATCTGGGCCACTAACAACAAGAGCCGGCAAAGGGTAAAGGATCAAGAGCTTCTGATCTATGGGGTGTGGGAGTGGGTGGCGGGTGGGGGGCGGGTGGTGAGAGTGGGGGGGAGGCCCACCCTTCTGGAAGGAAAGGCCATTGGGGCCCCTAGCTGGGGGCAGGCGGGGAACTGATAAGCTCTTTGTTTCCTCAGTGGTTTTAGGGGAGTAGGAGGACCTTTTAAAATATAAAAGAACAGCAGCCCATCTTGAAATGTCTTAAGCCAAAAAGAAGCGGGGAGAGGATGCTTTGGCCCATGTGATAAGAAAGCACGTGGGTGTCCACGTGTGGGGAGGGTTAGCCGCCTTCTCTGTTTCAGGCCCCGGCCTTCCCCTCATTGGTTGTTTCCAGGCCGCCTCTAGCGGCACGTCCCAAGCTTACACCCTGTCTCACTTCGCAAGCCCAGCACGTGGAGAGCTTCTCTTTCCAGGTGGTTCCAACCAAACTTCCAGAGCTGACTCTCGTTGGCTTAAATCGGGTCATGTGCCCAGCCCAGGTGACTATTATTGGCCAGACTTGGGTCATGTCTTTGCCTCCGGAAGGAATCAGGGCCGGGCAACCCCTTTGGATGCATTGATTCTAGGAGAGGGGCGGGGTGATTCTTTAAACTAAAAACTGGGGCTCCTCCCAGAAGCTGCTGAAGATCCCTAAAGCGACAGACTGTCCGCCTGGGAGGAAACCCCCACAGTCCCCAGGCCTGCCTCCCTGACGGGTTGCTTCAAGAGCAGATTCAGGAGCACCTGGCAGGGAAGGAAGGAAGGAAGGAAGCAAGGGCCTCCCCACCTGGGAGATATTTCCCCTCCATTAATCTTGTAATTATGGCAACTGTACACAGAGGCCCCAGGAAGCAGGGATGGGTGGGTGGAGATTCACCACCCACAGTTCAGGCTTGTGCAAGACTCACCCCCTCTCTTCCCGGGACCAGGTGGGGGCCTCCCTTGCTCATTCCACTGTTAGGGGGACGCGGGCCTTGCCCCTGGCGGCGAAGGCTCAGGCATAATGGACGTGTGAGCGCCTGGCCCTGGTCCCAGCGCAAAGTAGACACTCAGTGGACGCTGTTGCTTTCTCTTTTCTACAAAGGGCTGTGGCGATGGGCTGTGATTACAGTAATCACCAGTGCTTTGGTCCTTGTGAGTAATAATAGCTGTTCCATTCAGCCACTTCTCGAAGGGGCGCAGGCAGAGCTATTCTCTCTCTCTCTCTCTCTCTCTCCTCTCCCTCCCACCCTCCCTCTCATAAACACACCCAAGATGCTGGGAGATCTTTAACTTCTCACCTCCTTTTATTCCACCATGTCCACCACCATCATTGTCACAGCTTCTTCGCTTCTGGGGGAGTGACCAGCGAGGCAGCTGTGAGAGGAGCATGTGGCAGAGAGAGAGAGAGAGAGAGAGAGAGAGCTGGAGAGATGGGTGGAGGGGGCCGGAGAGGGAGAGCATGGAGGAGAAGACAGAGAAGCTGCACATGATGTCGCCTCTTATTTTTCACAGCACCTTTGTGGTCCTTGACCCTCACAACGGCCCCTCCTTGAAGAAACAAGGAAACGGAGGCCAAGAGGCCCCCGAAGGTCGTCCTATCCAGAAAGTCCAGGATGGATCCTGGATTCAGACCCAGGTGAGTGTGCGACGCCAAATGGTCGTCGCCATCTGTGCCACGAGTGAGTGAGTAGCTGGACGACAGGGCTGGAAGCAGCCGCAGCATGGATCATGTTTGCTGTGTGGCCTTGAGCAAGTGCCTTGCCCGCTCTGGGCCAAGGGGACGCTGGTTCGGGGTTGGCAGCCCGGCCCCTGTGATCGGTCCTGTTGGCTAAGGGCAGTGTTCTGGATGATGGGTGTTCCATGCTTACCACTTACTTCTGGACAAATCCCATCAATAATTCAAGTTCCCTTTCCTTTATAACCCAGGAAAATTGGTCTCCTGGCAAGATATAAAAAATAATTTCACGCTCTCTTTCCTCCCCTCCCGAAACCGCCCCTGACAAATCATCTTTTTATTGCCTGTCACTCCAGCCATCAGCACACATCTGGGGTCCCATTTTTTATGGCTGCCAGCCTCACTCTCGGCTCTGACTGCAGCTGGCCCTTAATAAGGCCACCATCCAATTTCAATGAGGCTCCCTCATTCATTCATTCGTTCATTCATTCATTCAGAAAATATTGCCTGCTTTGTTCCCAGGGATCCAAAGCTTTCCTATGATAGGTGAGGTGCTCCTCCTTTATTCAGACTAAAGTGTGAGGGGCTACTTTCTTAATTCTTTAAAAGGAGAGCATGAACCCAGCATTTTCCCCATTATCTCTTTAATGCTCGTCCAGCACCTTATTCAACCCATAGTGAGAAAAACACCAGGGAGAAGCGGCCTCCCTGCCTCTCCCATTCTTTTTATTATTATTATTATTATTATTATTATTATTATTTATTATTGATTTCAGAGAGAGGAGGGGAGAGGGAAAGAGAGACAGAAACATCAATGATGAGAGAGACTCATCGATAGGCTGCCTCCTGTATGCCCCGTACTGGGGATCAAGCCTACAACCCAGGTATGTATGTTCCCTGACTGGGAATGGAACTGTGACCTCCTGGTTCGTGGGTCAACGCTCAACCACTGAGCCACACTGGCCGGGCTCCCAGGCCCATTCTTACCTCTCGCAGCCCTGCAGCCCTACAGCCCCCACGCTCCCTCCACCACAGCTCCGTGTTGCCACCCACCACAGACACATCTGCCTTCCCCATCTGACTGGGTGGGGGAAGGGACTTTATGCGTCTTGCTCACCACTCCCCAGGGCTTGGTGCTCAGCGGGTCCTGGGCAGATAGGATCATTTGAATGAATGGGATGACACAATGAGGAGTTAACAATCAAGTGCAAATGTTCCTAAACACATCCCTCCCTTTCCTGAGCCAGATAAGGTTATCTTTTCTAGCAGGTTCAGAACCCCACCCTTCCTGTCTCTACAAGACTCACTGTGGTAGAGGAAGGCAGTGCGGAAAAGGAGCCAGATGGCTTATGACGTTAGAGGTAATCTATAGCCTGGCCGGTGTGGTTCAGTTGGTTGGGCATCAGCCCGTGCCCTGAAAGGTTGCCAACTATATTCCTGGTATTGTGGCTTGATCCCCAGTAGGGGGCATGCAGGAGGCAGCAGATCAAGATTTCTCTCTCACATCAATGTTTCTCTCTCTCTCTCTCTCTTCCTCTCACTCTAAAAATCAATAATTTTTTTTAAATCTAGTAAAAACAAAAAATAAGGTAAACCCAGAGTCAATAGAAGGAAAAAAAAAATACTAAAGAGCAAAACTCAGTGAACGAAAACACAGACAGATGACAGAGGCAATTCACAAAGCTGAAAATCGGGGCTTTCAAAGGATTCATAAAATTGAAGAGCACGAGCTAACACTGGACCTTTTGGATTACTTTTTTATTTTAGTTTTTCGTGCTGGCTGTGCGTGCATGGACTGGCTCCCATGGGGGCTGGGTTCACTCGGGGTCACGGGGCTGGGGCGGAGAAAAGAGCAGGTGACAGCTTCCAGGCGCCTCTGGTCCAGACAAGCGCGGGGCCCCCCAACGCTCCTGCTCAGCGTGGGTCCCCCTGCTCAGCGGAGAGGGGGGGGCCCTGCTCACTGCTGGATCCTGCGGACACTCTGCACCTGGGGGGTCTGGGCATGAGGGCCCCACTCTCGGAAACGGTAGCCGGGGAACTGGCAACAGACCCAGCTGAGGAGGGGAAAGGGCAGATTGTTACCCTAGAGAGGCCCCAGGGTGGGGGCAAAGACCAGAGATCCATGGTTGTCCCAGGAGGTGTCCCTAACCCTCCCAACCCCCTCGCTGTCCCTGCCAGGCAGAGGTTGGGATGCACTGACGTGGAAGGAGCCCACTTCTTTGCCATCCCATCCCAGGGCCTGGAGGGAGGGATAGCCATCACTCAGCTCTCCTTTCCTGCCCAGGAAGTTCTCTTGCTCAAAGATGGTCAGCCTCGAGTCCCGGTGGTTCTGCGGGCACAGGGCACAGGGTCAGACCCTCAGGTGCACAGCTGGGTGCCTCCTCTGCCCACCCCACCCCCGCCGTTGTCTCCAAATCAGTCAGTCTCTCTTGCAACTCTTTTGAAAGGGCAATAAGGCAACAGGCTCTAGAAACCTTACAGGAGGTATTCCATTTGCCCTTTCAGAAATTTGCACAAAAATAATCATGGAATAAATAAGTCTTGGTGATAACAATAGGAAGGAAGGAAGGAAGGAAGGAAGGAAGGAAGGAAGGAAGGAAGGAAGGAAGGAAGGAAGGAAGGAAGGAAGAGAAAAAAAGAGAAGACAACTTGAATGCCCAACAATAGGGGTTAGGAGCTAAACTAGCGTGTTGGGCTGTGACTTGCCGAGGTCTGGGTTCGAATCCTGCTCCCCGCTTACCCGCTGACCGAGCTTAGACATGTCACACAGCATTTCTGAGCCCATTTCCAAACCCATAAACGGAAACTAACCACATCTGCTTTTCAGGGTTGTTTCTGGGGCGTACATGAGCCCCGAAGTTGTACACTGTGTGAAAGCGGGGTTTGCATCTGCCAGAGTCCGCCGTGGGTCCCTGTCGTGACACAAGGCCTGGGCCCTTCGCGGCATGAATGGACAAATGATCCTCTTTGCAAAATGGAATCCTAGGGCGCCATGGGACAGGATGTTATAAATTAGATCGAATCACCCGGGAGGATCCCTGTGCTATATCTGCCCAGTGAGAAAAGCTGGTTTCCCAGCCTTTGGTTTGTTATGACTCAGTATTTATAACAAAATGCTATGTGTGGGTAGATGTACAGATATAGGGAGTGAAGCACTGAGCACTGTGAACTGTGGGCGTGTACCTCAGAGTTATGGGTATGAGTGATTTTGATTTTCTTACTCCGCCATCTCAGGGTTTTCCCTGAATTTGAGATGATAAATAGGTGTGGCTTGTGTGATTGTAAATCGATAAAAGTTGCTTTTGAAGAACAAAACAATTACACCTTTCAGAGCCTCCTTTTTGTTCATCTGGAAAATGGGGGCAATAATGGCCACCTGCACCCATACCCCATAGCCAGCAGGAAAAACAGAAAAAACCAGGAGGAGGAAACCAGGCCCGTCCTCCCCACCTGGCCCTGCCATCTCCCCACCCGGCTCGTCCCAGCATCTCTAAGTCCTAAGAAGAAGACTCAGGTCGCCCCGACCGGTTTGGCTCAGTGGATAGAGTGTCGGCCTGCAGACTGAAGGGTCCCAGGTTCGATTCCGGTCAAGGGCATGTACCTTGGTTGCCGGCACATCCCCAGTGGGGGGTGTGCAGGAGGCAGCTCATCGATGTTTCTAACTCTCTATCCCTCTCCCTTCCTCTCTGTTAAAAAATCAATAAAACATATTTAAAAAAGAAGAAGAAAAAGAAGAAGACTCAGGTCATAAACAAAGCGGCCATGGATGGAATGTTTGTGGCGGCTTCTGGCCAGATGCTGAACATTCCTCCTCCCACAACAGAAGTCCTAGGGCCCCGTTGCAAGATGAAAAAAAAAACGAGGCTCAGAGAGGGGAGGGACTGCCATGTCCCACAGTTTGAAGAAGGGACCTGAGACACTGAACTCTGGGACATCCGGTTCCCAAGGTTCCCCAGCCCCCACTGGAGGAGCTCGGAGGGGGCCCCCTGGGAGGAGGGGGAGCAGGACTCACAGCACAGGCCACAGGCCGGAAGGAGGTGAGCCTCTCAGCGGGATAGGCCGTGTTGCCGCTCCAGGCGCCCCAGCAGGGGTACTCGCCCCGCTCCAGCACGTACTGCTGCCCTTGGAAGCCGGGGCGCTCAAAGCCCACCCACCTGCGGACAGAGCACAGGAGCTCAGAGCCCCCTCCCAGAGTTCTAGACCCAAGGTTGTCCTGCAGGGGGGACTCTGGCCCCGGGGCGGCATTCAGCAAAGTCAGGAGGCATTTTTAGTCGTGATCCTGGAGGAGGGAGCGGAGGGTGTTTGCATAGGGCCCGTTGTTTTTGGCGTCGTCCTATGGGACGAGGCTGACACCAAGCTGGCCGCGCCCTGGCTGTGTATGTAAGGGATCCATTGCCGGAGTCCACCGGAGCCCGTTGCCTTCTCGCCGGCCCAATCTGTTGGCCTGCTGGCCCTATCCCTGCCCAGGCCACTGCTCCCGTCTGAGCCCCAGGCCCCCGCCTGCACGTAGCAGAGTGTTCTACTGAAAGTGTTTACCGTGGTGTGCGATGCAAAAATGCCACTCGGCGCGGCCTTCGGTGGCACTCGCAGGCACAGCATGAAATGACTCCTTTCCGTCCACTTCCCAGCCTTCTAGAAACTTCTGACCAACATGGTAGCCATTAGCCACATGTTGCCAATTAAACATACATTTAGCCAAATCAAAGCGTCAGGTCTTTGATGCCGGTAGCTTCATTCCCAGCCCTCCACGGCCACATGCGGCCCGTGGTTCCCAAACCGGCTGCAGATGTCCGCTGTTTTGATCACGACGGCACGTCCCACTGGACGGTGCTGGTCTGAACAGGCTCATCATGGCGGTATCGGGGTGTCCTTAACGCCTTTGTACATCTCGTCAATCTCTCTTTAGAAAAAAACAGACACATCACTCATGCTCTGAGCCGCAGTCAAGCAACAATGTCCCGCTAAAGATTAATAGCATTTTTTTTTACTATGTTTTTATAGTTACCTTCCATTCGGGGCAAATGACGTTGCTTGTAGATTTATGCCTAAGAGGGGTTTTTCAGTCCCTGCGCCCCATTCTCAAGGTCAGCCCCCGCCGTGTGTCTCATGCAGTGGGCAGGATCTATGTGAGTGGCGCCCCCTGCATCTGGGCGCTACTCAACCTACCCCAGCACGTCAGCCCCATTGGGAAGTTAGGGCCTGGGGACATAGGGCCTGAAACCTCTAAAAGTCCCAGCCCCCCTCGCTAGATCCCCTCCTGTCTCCCTCTCCCTGGCTCAGAGCCCATCCCCTTCCCAACTCACGCTCCACTCAGCACTTTGAGAGACCGCAGGGTCTCAAAGCCCAGCTCCAGCACGCCGGGGCACTGGGCGGCCAACTCCTGCCGCTGGCCCTGGAAGCCCTCCTGGTCCCACACCACAATCTACGGCAGAGAGAAAAGGGGGAGCCCGTGGGGGTGAAGGGGTGAAGGGTTAGGGGCTCTCCCCCCCAGGACTCACGATGGGGCGGGACAGAGAGAGCGGGGATTGCAAACTCCAATGCCTCTCCAGGTGCCAGGCAGGGAAGGCGGGCGAAGGCCCCCTGTAAATGCTTGGCCTCTGCACAGCGCCTCCTATTGTTGCTACCTGGGAATGCAGGCCAACTTTCCCATCTCTGACGGCAATCACTAAATCGGGACTTCTCCATGGACCCTCCAAAATTTTAAAAGCAGATACACTGTAAAGGTTCGGTTTAAAAAAAACAAACACCACAGGGGAAGTCAAAGAAATAATGCCGAAGACTGTGCAATCACCAGCGTGCCATCTCTGCCGGGGAGTGTCGCGGTTAAATTCGGGGACCAGAGACCCCAGTTCAGTTCAAGGCCCTGTGTGTGACCTTGAGCAAGTCCCTTCTCCTCTTTGAGTGTCGGTTCCATCCGCTGTGACATGGGCCCTCACAACACCGCCCCCCCCCCCCCGCCACGGGGTGAAGTGGGGATTCAGTGGAGGTGGGGATGGGGGTTCTCCTGGACCTGCGCCCCCACTTCCCAGACACCCCCATGCCTCTTCCTACCTTCCAGTGCCCCGCGGGCTTGGTGCGTTGCAGGGTCATGTTGCCCTCTTCCTGCCCAAGAGAAGAACGTGACAACTTTAGCCCCGACTCTGCTGTCTCCTTGACAACGACATCGAGATGGAGACGGGTGGGGATCCAGAGGGGTCCAGATGTGCCTGCGCAGGGGGCAAAGGGCAGCTTCGGCCCCGCCCTCTCCTTCCCTTTCCATCTGTGGCCAATCCCTGTGCTTCCTTCCTATCAACATCTCAAAGCCCCCCCCCCCCCCCCCCCCCGCCTCTGGGTCCCATCGCCTCTGAGCCCCATTCTTTGCGGTTTTATCTGCTGGCCGTGGGAGATTTCTGTGGCTGGCTGAGGGTGAACGCATCCCCCTGGCAAATGCCAAGGTGCCCAGCTTACAAGAGCCTCCCTAAGACAGCATTTGACCCACACAGGTGACTCGAACGGTGGACACTGAAGCAAGGACTCCAGGAATAATTTTGTTTCCAGCGAGGGGAGCAGGTACTAGGCTTGATGCCTGGGGCCCGGCCGGGGTTAGGAGGAGAAAGACACGCAGGATGGCGCAGTGATGTCTCCAGGATTGGGGGCCTGGCCTCCCCTTCCTCCCAGGATACTCACTCAGAGCTCGAACGCCACTCCTTCTCCGGGCCTGGGACTTACCGAGACGGACCCACAGAGCACGCCAGGCCTGGAACCAGCCAAGGTCGGGCTCTTATCGGCAGGGAGGGGAGAGGGCCTCCAGGACATGAGGCCCCGACTCTGCAAGGGAGCAGCAAGCACAAAAGGCAGCCCTGGCTGAAGCCCCAGTGGAGAGGTGTTAGCACCACTGGCTGGGAGGGAGAGGGGCAGGTGGCCTCCCTCAGGGATCAGCCACAAAGAAGGCACGAGGAGGAAGGCCAGCCTTTATCGGCGCCATAGGACCCCTGATTGGAGCAGGAGAATGAGCACTGGACAAGGAGTCCAAAAACCTGGTCCTTCCTAGCCGTGTGACCTGCAGCAGGCCATTTCTCCTCCGTTTCTGACTATAAAACAGGACACGAATAAACTACATCACCGGGGTGTTGTGATGTTATGCCACATGCCTGCCGCAGAATACACATTCAACAAATGCCCATACCTTTCTCCCTTCCTCTTGCAGAAGGGGCAATCAGGGCAGGCTTCCTGTTGGAGGCGGCATTGAAACGAGACTCTGAAGGGTGAGGAGGATGTGTACAAAGTGAGATGGAAGAAAATACTTTTCTAAGCCAGTGTGTGAGAAAGAGCGGGTAGCCCGATTGGGCTGGAGCTCAGGGACCCTGAACGGGAGCAACGAGAGCCAGGCAGGAAAGGTGGGCTGGGCCAGGGCCTCCAGGGTCCACAAAGCCCAGAGGGAAGTTCAGGTGGCTCTGCGGGCAGGATGAAGGAGCTGGTGGGTGCGAACACGCTTTGCAAACCGTAGCGCACCTGCCCAATGGCCAGGGTTGGTAGAATTTGCTTTGTTCACCTTCTTCCCACACTCTGATGTGACCTAAAAGGGGCCTGTCACAGCGCCGGGAAGAGCATGGCAGGGACCAGCCCACCCTGGGTGAATCCAGTCCTGCCTCTGAACAGCTGCGTCACCTGGTGGGTGTCTGACCTCAGCCCCTGGCCTACAAAGTGGCAACATGTGTCCCCCCGGGAGGGTTCCATTAAAAGCAGCCCCATCAAGTGCGTGACTCGAGTGAAGGGTGGCCTTAAAGATAAAAGGCTGAGAACGCAGCCTCCGCAGCCAGGCTGCCTGGCTTTCATCCCACTCTTGCTGGCTGGGAAACCTTGAGCGTGTTCCTTAATCCCTCTGAGCCTCAGTTTCCTCGTGTGTAAAATGGGCGCAACAAAGTAACTTGGTTTCGCCTCAGAGATAACGGTATAGTGAGGGGAAACGTGAAATAGACACACGAACCGCAATTGGAACCTAACAAGTGCTCTGCACCTCCATCATCATTGTCATCATCATCACTGCGAATAATCGACATGATTGTGATGAAGTCGTTACTCATAGAAAACCGAAGTGCATGGTTTTAAGAGCTTTGGTCCAGGAGTTAAAGAGACATGGCTTCCCCATTCCCTTGTACAGACGAGCAAAGAGGCTGACAGAGGGGGAGAGCGAGCTGCCTCGGTTTCCCCGTCTGCAAACAGGACGGATCCCAGAGACCCCGGCATCGCAGTGCAGATTCCAGGAGCCCCGTTAGGAAAGTGCTCAGGATGGAGCCCCTGGGCATGAGGAGCCACCCCCCCACCTCTGCGCCCACCACCCTCTGGCAGGCAGCCCCATCGCCACGGGAGACAGGGAACCGTGCCAGACAGCCTGGCCTTGAAGCCCAAAGCTGTGGGTGGCCCCCACCACCCATGTGTCTTGGCCCCGTTCCAGTGGCTGTTCTATCCTGTGGTTCCTGCCTGCCTCCCAGGCCTTGGCCCAGGATGAAAGACGGAGGAAGCACCTGGGACAGAGGGGGTGCGGGGAGCGGGCCCAAGGCCACAGTGATCTCAAGGCAGAGCTGGGCTCCAAGGGGAATGTGGGTCCCGGGGCCTCTGCCGGGGGGGGGCGGGGGGCAAGACCCCGGGAAAGCCCCTCTCCCCCAGGCCCACATGGGGCTGGGGGCGAGACAGCAGGCTGGCCTGGCTCAGCAGCTCCCCTGTGAGTCACACCAGGCTACCTTGTTGAAGTCACTTGTTCTCCGTGGGTTTGGTTTCTCCACCTGTGAAATGAGGGAAGCGGACGCTACGACTTCTGGTAACTGTCCCATTATCCTGACCCTGCTGCTCTATTGCGTCCGTCACCCTGTCTCTACCCCCTCTCTCCTTTACTACCGCCCCCACCCCCGGCTGTATTTTTGTCTCCAGCATCTTTCTCTGTCCTTCTCCACTTCTTCCAATCAGCGTCCCCCTTCTCTCCCCCCATCTCGGTTTCCCTACCTCCCCCTGTACCCCACCTTCCATTATGATCCACTGGGACCATTTAGCCCCCCCCCCCCAAAGAGATCAAAGACCCACCCTGTGCCAGGCCCTGTGCTGGGTGCTGGGGCCCAGGGGTGAGCACGGTGTGGTGGAGCTGAGGTCTCCCCCAGGAAGCTCCATGATGGGCAGGCAGATTCCTGGCCGCCAGCTCTGTCCCTGGAGCCGAATGTGGGGGAGAGAGAGCCTACAGGCAGATCAGGAAAAAGTGAGGGGAGGAACCTGGGGTCTGTGTGAGCTGAGGAATAGGACCGGGCTTTAAGTATTCATCCCACTGTCCAGCTGGTGTGGCTCAGTGGGTTGAGCATCGACCCATGAACCAAGAGGTCGCTGGTTCTATTCCTGGTCAGGGCACATGCCTGGGTTTCAGACTTGATCCCGTGTAGAGGGTGTATAAGAGGCAGCTGATTGATGTCTCTCTCTCATCGATGTTTCCATCTTTCTATCCCTCTCCCTTCCTCTCTCTCTAAAATCAATGAGAACGTATTTTTTAAAAATAAATAAATATTCAACCCACTGAGCACAGGGACCACTCTGAGCACAGGGACCCCCCCCCCCCCCCCAATCGCCCTCTGTCTAGAAGCAGGAAATCAAGCCAGGGCCCAGGTCAGACATCATGAGAATGAAGCCTGCAGGCCCCCCTGCCTGGGCTGCTTCCTGGCTCTGCCCTCTCTGTGCCCTCGCCTTGCTCATCTGTGAAATGGGTATAATGAAAGTACCAAGTAGGGTGCGCTGTCCTGAGCATTGACCAAGATGGCGCGGGGAAAGGCGTTTGGGGCTGCGTTTAGCACCCAGCAAGCGCTCATTGCGGGGTCTGTGGCTCTTGTACCCGTATCCACCTTACAAGGCATCTCCCATCCCCTGTGTCATCATCACCTTCTTTCCTAGTCAGCATCCAGCAGGGACACGGTGCCTGCTTGTCGCTGTGGTCACAGAGGTTCCAGAGACCAAAGACCCGCTGAAAGCCACAGGGCACCTTGTGGCTGAGCCAGGATTCAGGTCCTGGTCTCCCACCTTCCAGGGGCTCCCCTTTTCCCTGCCTGAGGATTGGCAGCCAGCGGGGGCCCACCGGGGCAGGGCATCAGTATAGGACCAGGTGACACCCCTGCTGATCAGGGTTCTGCCTGCCTGCTGGGCTCACAATGGAAAGTGCTTCTCTCCGCAGTCACCCAGGCGAGGTTGCAGCCTTGGGCCCCAGCTCAGTGCCCGGGGCCTGCTGAGCTGGCTCCCTCTTTGCTCCCCAGACCATAGGCCCGCTGTCTGCCAGACTATAGAATGGGGGGTCGGCCCGAGGGGCCCGCAGCACCCACCACCCAGCTGCCTGTCCTGCAGCAGGAGGTAGCAGGTCCCCAGGTACAAGGGAACCCACCCCCCTGCTGAGAGTTGAAGGGGAGAAGCGAGAGGAGGCCCAGAGGCAGGGAGGCAGAGAGAGCAGTCCTAGAAGAGAGAGAGAGAGAGAGAGAGAGAGAGAGAGCAAGTAAGGGAAGGGGAGAGCGGGAGGGAGGAGGAGAGAGAGAAGAAAATGCAGTAATAGAGAACAGAGGGCTTAGGCACAGACACAAAGGAAGCAAGAACCCAGAGGGGAGGGACCCGGGGACAGTGAGGTAGGAAATGGACAGGAATGTATCTCCAGTGAGGAATGAGTCCAACTCCCAGCCCGGGGACTGTTGATTCACAGATGACACAGGGGAGCAGGCCGGAGCCTGGAAGCCACAGATGTGGCCCAGATGTCTGGCCTGCCCACGGTGGGCAGCGTACCCCAGAGAGGCATGGGGTGGGGTACGGGGCGGTCTGCAACCCACTGGACCCCAGGGTCTCAATCTATGTTGTCAGGCAGTCCTCAAATCCCTGGACATTGTCTCTAAAATTAAAGGGGGGCGCTCTCCCCCCCCCCCCCTGGGGACAAGGACAAGGCATTTGTCAAAACTCATGACCCCAAAACAGCAAGGAACCGCTGCAATTGACCAGAGCGCTCTCCACCCACCGCCTCCGCACCACAAGCCTCCTTTTAGAACCCCGCAGGCACTAAAGACACCCTCCAGGGCCTCCCTCTTCCCCAGTCCCAGGCCCGAGCCTGCACCCACACACTCATTCCCAGAGAATGCCTGAGGCTGCAGTTTGCCTGGGAAGGGAGGCAGGAACGTGCAGTCATCCATTCTCTGAACAGATGTTCGAAGAGAACCTCACGCCGGCCAGGGGCTAAGCCGCGTGCTGGGGACGGAGGGGAGAATAAATCAGATTAAGAAAATGGCATTTCGTAACCCTGTTGCTGGATCCATGTGCTTGAGCCCCAACGGGAGTCCCACCATGTCGCGGCTGTGTGGGCTTGGGCCGGTCCCCATCCCTCTCTGGGCCTCAGAGGGCTCAGAGCTGGGAAAGATAGCACCTGCTGGGGGGCAGGGGGGGACGGGGGGGGGGAAGGGGAAGAACAGATGAGCTCATACCACATACGCAGAGCCTGGCTGAGCTGCAGGCCTCCCCAGTGTGGCTTCCTGTTATTCACCTGGTGAGGCAGCTTGAAGCTGCACACGCCAAGAAGTGTGATAAGTGCGAAAACCCACAGGTGTCGAGGAGATCGGGGTACAAGGAAGGGCACGGCTGGTGGAGGGACCGGCCCCATTCGTGGCCTGAAGGAGGCATATCAGGGGTGCGAGGTGCCCAGTCAAGACAGCCTTGCCTGGGGCGGGAGGTCAGGGCAGAACCCGTCCAGGCTCATGTTTTAGAAAGAGAAAAGGCAGAAATGACTTGAAAGCAGCCTGAAAACATGGGGGTGGGGATAGGAGAGTGGGGAGGCGGCTTGGGGGTGCCCGCCCGGCATTCACCAAGGCCAGAGGTTTCTTTACAGGCGTTGGCAGGTGGGAGCCACGTCTCAGCCGGCCTGTGCCTCCATAGCAGCTGCGGGGAACCCAGTGCCCGAGAGCAAGGGGAAGGGGGCCCCGCCCGCAGGCCCTGCCCCAGGGCCCGGCCCCACCCTGGCCCCAGCACCCGTGCCCATGCCCACCGCCAAAGTGGGGCACCTGGCCCCTGGGAGCTACCAGGTAAGGACCTGGGGCTGAGGCGTCTGGGGTTTCTGGTCTCCACCCTATGTGTGGACCAGACAGGTGACCACTTCTAACGCCCGCCACCCCTCCTCCCCTCCTCCTCCAGTCTCTGAGCTACACAAGCACGTGTCTAGCGTTTTTGAAAGCAAGAAACGAAACAAGGGGACACGTGGGCTGGCCTGGCAGTGGGAACCCCTGTCCCCAGAGGTTCTCTAGGGCCACGGGACGGCCTCAGACCCTCCTGAAAAGGGTCCCAGGCAGCCGGGCAGGCACCGGTCCCCTGGGGGTTGGTCGGGTTTAGTTTCGATGTCAGGCGCACAAAACGGGTTCACCACCTTGGTGCGTGGTCCATGCCACCCTCTCATGTGGTCTGCGCATGGCCGGCTTTTACCGCAGTGACTTACCAAGCCGTACATTTTTATTTCATTTTTAAACACACACACCTACACACCCACCACCCGTCTTGAAAGCCGGGACCTGGTAAACATCCGCGAACTCTGCCATGTCCCCCGGGAGCCAGCCCACTGCCCTCCTGCCCTCCTTAGGTCCCTGTCCATCCTGTGCTTGCTCGCTTCTTGGTGTATTTTGAGGCTTTCTTCCTTTAAAACATTTGTTGATGGTTATGTGTCAGTCACTTACAGAAATAGGCCGTACGTGTTCATTCTGGGGTTTTCTCTCTGCTTTGCGCTCACTCTGAGGTTCCTGTACAGCCGTCCGTATGGTTGCACGTTGCTGCGGCCGTTGGTTTGGCCGCCGGGTGTAATTCAGTGTGGCCGTCACTCCCGGGGACCCTCCGGGTGGCTGCTAGCCCTCCTCCGGGAAACGGCATGGACAGGCTGTTCTTATCTGGGTATCCGGCGGCGGGAGTTTCTCTCGGGTGGACAAGTGCTAAGTCAAGGGTACGAGAGCCTCCTCCCTTTACAACTGGGGAAACTGAGGCTCCGAGAAAAAAGACACTTGTCTTCATTCAAGGGAATGGCCCACTTGGGGCAACAAGTGGATAATAAACAAAACTGGGGGCTGAGTGAGGAGAGGGGAGTTGCCAGTGTTCACATGGCGGGGGGCCTGCTTCCAGGCCCCCCTACGTTGTGCCAGGGAGACGGGTCCATGTTTCCTGGGCATCAGCTCTGTGGCAGGTGCTGGCTGGAGCTGGAGATACAGAAATGGACCAACCACATCTTGCCCTGGAGATGCCCTTGGACTTTGGGGGGGGGGGGTGGCGGTTGAGGAAAGAGGGAGACGGTGCATAGAGAGAGACGTGGGAAGCAGTGTCATTGTATTGTGTGTTCCTGGTACTGCTGATGGAGGGAGCACAGTGAGGGGGCACCTAGCCAAGCCCACCTAAGGGGAGGGCATCCAGGAAGGCTTCCCGGAGGAGGAGGTAATGTCTGAGCCTGAAACAGGACAGGGAACGTGAGCTCCGGGATGGGGGGGTGTGGTGGAGAGGGCGTTTCAGACGGAAGGGACAGCACAGATAAAGGCCTTGAAGGAGGACCCTCAGCTGCTAACGGTGGTGGGAGGAGGGACGGCTGAGTCATTTCACAGACCTGGGCTCCGGCCACACTCACATGAGACCTGCTTGGGGCCTGCTTCCACGTCTATGGGGACTTCATGACTCTCCTCCCCACTCACTCAGCCCCACCCCACCCCTGCACCGGGCTGGGGGCTGCTCTCCTCCAGCTGGTGGTCTTTGAGCAGGAGAACTTCCAGGGCCACCGGGTGGAATTCTCTGGGCAGTGCTTGAACCTGGGAGACCGCAGCTTCGACCGAGTGCGCAGCCTCATTGCCACCTCTGGACCGCAAGTGGCAGGCAGGGGAGGGACACTCTTGTAGCTGCCACGTCTTGAGCACCTGCTCTGCGCCTGCCAGCAGGCTAGCAAGACACATCCAGTATTCCTAGTCCTCATTGCCAACCCATTTTACAGATGAGGAAACGGAGGCTCAGAGAGGTGATAGGATTATCATAACGTCACACCAACAGCCAGTCATGATTCTGGGCTCCAGAGAAAAGCTGCTTCTACTAGAGAGGGAGCCTGCCCGCCCCTGAGGGCAGGAGACCCAAGAGCCAGTGTCTACCAGCTGCCTCCCCTCCTGGCATCAAGCAGCTATAGAATAACTGTACCTGCTGGGCACCCCCTAGGTGCAGGCACAGACTGAGGGCTTCACCTAGGTGATCCTACAATGCTACATGAGGGAGAGACTATTCTTGTGCCCATTTGACAGATGGGCAAACCGAGGCTCAGAGGGAGTAAGTCCCTCGGCCAAAGTTACCTACTGGCAAGTGGCAGAGCTTGGGGTCAACTCTAGATGATCAATTCCACCCACATGCTTTGTATCCCCTGCTCCATGGCCTGCCCTGACTCTCTGGGCTTCTCTTAGCCATAATGACCACCCCCCCCCCCCCCCATATGAAGCAGGAAGACTTGTCCCTGGGACATAGTGGCTGCACCAGCGCCAACCCATGTGGACTGGCATCAGGGCACACGACCTTCGCTCGCTGCTTGTCTTCCCAGCCCGAAAGCCAACCCCCAGGGGGTAGGGTCAGCCTGTATGCCCAGCATCCTGAGGCTCTTGGCAGTACAAAGAGCAGAGATGGGCTTTGAGCTCAGACAGGCCTGGGTTCGAGTCCCAGCTCCCCCAGACCTTGTTCAAGCTCCAAGCCTCAGTGTTCTCATCTCTGAAATGGGGAGATTAACAGTCCCCACTACTCTCCACTGTGCTATTCTGAGCCCTGAAGGAGATGATGCGGCTTGGGTCTGGCACCTGGTGGGCGCCCAAACATAGCAGGGGACGGTGGTGATTATTAATTAGCCTTCCTCATCGTCCTGCGAGTTTAGCTGAGTCACCCCAGTGGATGGTATGGGCTTTCTATGCCCTGCACCACCCCCACCAGCAGTGTGGTCAACACAGCCTCAGCCTCACCCCGTCCCAAAGCCCAGCTGGGAGCAGAAGCTGCCGGATGTGGCCAGCTGGGGGTTTTAGGCTTTTTTCAGTGCCAGTGACTCAAACCCAAAGTATTTCTCCTCAAACAAAGATGCAGCGGGAATTCCGGTCTTCAGTGTGTGTCCTGGGGCTATGCCTGGTGGGGAGGGATAAGAACCTGTGGCCCAGGGCCCTTGGTCTGTGTCAGGAACAGCAGGATGTGGGGAAATGATGGTGGGGAAAAGGATGGAGAGGACGAGATTGGCAGGGGAAGGGGAAGGGAGGTGTGGCCCAGCACAGGGACATACCTGCCTGAAACCCAGGTGACTTCAACCTGCCACCTAACACCATCGTGTGACCTTAAATAGGGGACCTGACCCCTCTGAGCCTCAGTTTCCACATCTGTAGATGAAAGATTCCTGCCCTACCTCTCTCCTTGACCCTAAGGCTCCAATGAGCCACGGGAGATGAAAAAAGCACTGAGATACACATTTAAAATGCCTCACTCCTGTAACAGGTCCCCCCTGGGCATTCGGAAGACGAGAGGGGGTTTGGAGGGGGAGGGGCAGCGTGGCCAGGCCACATCAGCGTCTGTCTTTCCCTCAGCTTGGACCCCCAGCAGCCCCCCCTTCAATTATAACATCTATTATTTACTGTGCCTCCTCTGTGTCCTGGGCGTTCCTTTTTTAGACCCTCATAACATCCTGACAAGGCAGATGCAGTCATTTCCTCTCTTACCGAGGCTTCACGAGCAGAAAAGAAAGGAGGAGCTGGGATTAGAGCTCAGGTCTCTCTGTTTCCAGAGTTTATACTCTTAACTCCTACATGGCACCACCTTCCAAGGACCCCTTTTCCACCCACCCATCCGTCCATCTCCATCCATTTATCCTCCATCTATTTATTCATCCATCTGCTTACCCCTCCTTCCATCCATCCATTCTCCATCATTCAGCCAGCCATCAATACCCTCATCCATAGATCCAGCCATCTACCCATCTATTCATCCACCATCCACCCACTTATCCATCCATTCATTTACCATCAATTTCAACCATCAATTCATCCATCCATCTATCCAACAATCCATCCATCCATCCATCCATCCATCCATCCATCCATCCATCCATCAATTCATCCATCCATCCATCCATCCATCCATCCATCCATCCATCCATCCTTATCTACTCCAGACCAGGCAGGACTGAGGCAGACGCACCTCTATTCTGGGAGGATCTGTCTGCACCTTCAATTCTGTCACTCCCTTATAGGTTGGCTCATCCCTCAGACAAGCCCTGAGGCTCCTGGGACGCATTCTGATCCAGTCCATGGTGGTGGCCCAGCCCTCCACCCCATCTCCCCATCTCCTTCTGGGTAGAGGAAGGTCCCAGCAGCCCCCAGGGAGATGCCATGAATGCCAGTACCCCCTTTTGTTCCTGATAACACTCATCTAGAGCAAAGGTCGAGGGGTCCCTTAGCCTCAGCCTTCTCACCAACAAAATGGGGATCATCCCATCCCCCCCCAGAAACCCTAGTCCTTCTAACACAACCTCACTTCCCATCCTTCATCAGGCTGTAGGGGGCAGGCAGCAAAGCCCCCACTTGACTTCAAGCTTGTGGTTCCTTAGTCCTCGTTGAGGACTGAACGCCTTCATATGCACGTTCAGGTGAGAATTAATTCTCACAGGTCCCTGAGAGGTGGGTAATATTATCATTTCCCTCCTACGGCCCACATTCCCATCACGGATCGTCTTCCGTAGGCCAGGCCAGTCTTTACCAAACGTATGATCAGTCCCCTGGATCCATTTCCCCCTTGCCTGGAGGACAACTTTTATTTTATATATTTCATTGTAAATGGCCCTTTCAGCTGAAATAAATATATTTTCAAAGAACCTCTGCATCACTTTGGCAGATGGGAAGCTGGTATCACTTGCTGAAAGTAAATGTATCCATAAAAAATTAACCCAGCGAGCACAGAGCAGAGCATTGTGCTGTCGCCTGCTCAAGGCTTCACGCTGGTGGCCCGTTCTTCCTTTGTTACAAGAAGAGATTCTGTTAAAGGCACATGGACACCCAACAGAGACGTTCTCCTAGCTGTTATCAGGTTTCAAAGAACGTGCCTTGTTCTGTGTAGTTCTATGCCTAGTCCTTAAATCAGATGTGAATCCTGCATCTGGAGGAATTTTTGCTCACTTCATCACACACATTGTCTCATTTAAGCCCTCACCAGCTCCAGGAAAACAGGTGTATTCGATGAGAAAATGAAGGCTCAGAGAGGTGGAGTCCCTTACCTGTGGTCACACAGCCAGTAAGTGGCAGAGACCAGAATGAAACCACCAGCCTGGGGGCTGCCTTGCAAGGGGGGGGGGGAGGGGCTCTGCTAACAATGCCTCTCCTTGCTGCCTCCCCGTCTCCCTCCCATCCAGCTGGGTCACCTTTGAGCATCCGACTTCCAAGGGGAAATATTCGTCCCGGAGAAAGGCCAGTACCCGCACTGGGACACCTGGTCCAGCAGCTACCGCAGCGACCGGCTCTTGTCCTTCCGACCCATCAGGATGGTGAGTGGCTCCTGGGTAGGGCCGGAGGGATCCGTGGGGAGGGCCTGGACGAGTTCGAGACCTGATAGCGTTCGAGGAAATGGGGGTGAGCAAGGAAAACACGGAGGGAATGGCGGGCAGGGAAGCGTGGCGACCTCGGAGTCGTCCAAGCACAGTGGCTCTTGTCCTCACCGATTCATAAGGTGTCTCTGATGTGTCCAGCTCCCGGTGGGAGCCCTGGGCACATGCGAAACATCAAACCCATCTATTTCCTTCCCTGCTGCTATCAAGCATGGACTCCACCCCTGGCTGGTGTGGCTCAGTGGATAGAGCGTCAACCTGCCGACTGAAGGGTCCCAGGTTTGATTCTGGTCAAGGGCACATGGCTGGGTTGCAGGCTCGATCACCAGTAGGGGGCGTGCAGGAGGCAGCTGATCAAATGATTCCCTCTCATCATTGATGTTTCTATCTCTCTCCCTATTCCTCTCTGAAATCAATACAAATATTTTTTTTTTAAAGGAAAAGAAAACGAAAAAAAGAATGGACTCCACATCCCAGTGGTTGGAGCTTGAAACCCCAGCGCCTTCCCAGATTCTATCTGCAGAATGTTTCTGATTCCCGGCTGCACAGCAGACCCTCCCGGGGAGCTTTGAAAATCCCAGTGTGGTGCTCGCTTCGGCAGCACATACACTAAAACTGAAATGACACAGAGACGATTAGCATGGCCCCTGCGAAGGGAAAGACGGGAAAGACAATCCCAGTGTCCATTCAAGCATCTACCATGCGGGTTGGAACCTGTGCATGTCTGAGAAGAGGGGTGTTGTGGAAAGACCCCCGGAGCTTCCCAACGATAAGACAACCTGCCGAGTCAGCCCCTTTGTACAGCAGACCAAGGAGTATGCCTTCCAGAAGATTCAAAGCCAAGACAGGTGGAGTTTTCCCTTAGCAATTCCGTTTCCCCAAAGTGTGTTCACTAGGACTCATGAACCAACCCCATCTTCACTCGCCAGGGTCAGATTCCCATGGTAACCAACCTTGGCCTTCCTGGATGGGAATTTTCCGGAAGAATTTTCGTGCATGTCCACTTGAGGCAGCAGGTACCAACAGTCGGCGGTTTGGGCACCGGATGTATCTTCATAGGATGATCCAACCAGGCCATTCCCCATGTTTTTCTCAGAATTTGAGGCCGAGCGATCAGCCTTTATAATGGGCCCTTTGAAAGAATTCATAGATTTATCTTTCTATCATTGCAGGTAGAATGGTAATCCATGTCCATGGAGCTTGTTGGAAGAGCCATCAGCCTGGGCATTTCCGGTAGCTTCTCCAGCTTTGCTATTCAATACAGTAGCCACATGTGGCTGTGGAACTTGAATTTGGGCTAGTCCGTTTGGACATGTGCTGTGAGTGTAGCAACATTACACACCGGATTTTGAATGCATCGTTAAAAAAAAAAGCGCAAAATAAGAATGTAAACTACCTCACTCATACCGTTATCTTGGTTACAAACTGAGATGATAATCTTGCGGCTGTATTTCCTTAAATCAAATATATTATTGGGGAAAAAAACCCAATGCCTGGACCCCTCCCCAGACCAATGATTTATGAGCCTCTGGAGCTGGGCGCAGACTGTGTGATTCACGCCCCCAGGTAGACTGTGCAGCCAGGGCTCAGAGCCTCCGGTCTGGTTTCATCTGTCCCCTATCTCTGCCTCCATCTCGCTGTGGGCCACCTTTATTTCACCCCTGGACAGCTCCAGCTCCCTCCCCGCCGGGTTCCCCGGCCCCTTTTCAGCCTCCTCCCCTGGGCAATTAGAAGAGTTTCTAACCCAACCATCTTCCAAGACTCATGCTTTGAACACTATCGGTTGATCTGTTTCTGCTAGGCTCTGTGGTAAGCTCTGGGTGCAACTCTGCACGGGACAGGCAAGGTCCCTGACCTTGTAGGAGGCAGTTATTGAAACCTAATCACGGAAATCAATCTATTCTGGCAAACGGTTGTGGTCCGTGCTGCACGGGGAGTGTGCAGTGTGGTAGGAGAGCGGAAGACCGGAACTGGGGCTCTGATGTCGGGGGAAGGAGTGGTCAGGGGTGATCAGGAAAGACAGCTCCCGGAGGATGGGAACTGAGGCAGCCATGTGAAGGGTGGTGGAGCAGCCTTCCAGGGTACAGTGAGTGCAAAGACCCTGAAGCGAGGAAGACGGGGTGTCAACTGGGAACCAAAAATTGGCCAGCCCTAGCTGGTTTGGCTCAGTGGATAGAGCATCAGCTTGGGGACTGAAGGGTCCCGGGTTCGATTCTGGTCAAGGGCACATGCCCAGGTTGTGGGCTCAGTCCCCAGTAGGGGGCGTGCAGAAGGCAGCTGATCAATGATTCTCTCTCATTGTTGATGTTTTTCTCTCCCTCTTCCTCTCCCTTCCTCTCTGAAATCAATAAAAAAAAATATTTAAAAAAAAATTGGCCAGTGTGGCTAGGGCAGAGGCCGTGAAGGGGAGCGGGGTGCCAAATGGGATGGGAGAAATAAAATGCTTCTTTGAAAGGTTCTGCCCCTCACTGGCTGTGTGACATTAATCAAGGACCAACCTCTCTGAGCCTCTACATCCTACAAGCAATGAATGAAAATTTTTGAGTGTATGCTAGGCATCGTGCTAAGTGCTCTCTATGGATTAACTCAATTGATCCTCATGACAGCTCCAGGAAGTAGAGGCCGATAGCCTGTTTTCACAGGGGCGTTACTTCTCTTTGCTTTGTTCATACTTCCCATGCCTGACTCAGTCTCTCCTTCCCCAGGACTCCCAGGAGCACAATGTTTGAAGGCGCCAACTTCAAGGGCAACACCGTGGAGATCCAGGAAGACGACATGCCCCGTCTCTGGGTCCATGGCTTCCGTGGTCGCGTGGGCAGTGCGAGGGTGTCCAGTGGAACATAAGTGTCCTCCCGCCAGGCCCTCAGCCTGCGGAGTCTGTGCCCCTTAAAGGATCTAACATCAGATGCAGAGGAATGGCCACAGCCCCTCCCCAGTTCTTGCAGGGCTGGTGGCTGGAATTCCACCCACCGAGCTCTCTTCCTCTGCGAAACGGAGTCATTCTCTGATGAATGACATGTCAGTGTAAACAAACCTGACAATTGGGCCTAAAAAGCTGGAAGATGAGAGAATAGGGGCGTCTAAAACCCCTATTGGGATTGAAAGAATGATTAAGTAAGGGGGGCAGAGTTGATGTGGATAGATGAGCCTGGATGGGTCTAGGGAAGAGAATATTCAGAGAAATCTGGACCTCTGGGAAATGAGCAGAATGGCTTCTGAGAGACGAGATTGTGTCATGAAAGGGCCTTGACTGTCGCTGATATGCTGTGAAACTTCGGTGAGCCCCATACCCCTCTCTGCATCTCAGTGTTGCTATCTCTACAATGGGTACACCAAACTCCCAGATATAAAAAAAGGCTCTTTCTGCTCTGAACTCCCAGGATTTGAAATGTTCAAAACTGAGCCCTGTGGTCCCATGTCTGGAAAAAAAAACAGGGGAGGGCTGGATGCCCAAAGGGGGTCATTTTATCCATCTCTTGTCCACAAACAACCAAGCCAGACACCACTCGTCTCCTCCAGGCAAATGTAAGGCTTCCACCTCTCCACCACAAGCTCTTGCTGAGCTCCTGTAATACCATCAGGGCCCTGGCCCTTTTTTCTTGTTCCTTTCTTCTTCCCTGAAGCCTGCATCTCGCATTTAAGCCATGAGAAATGTACCAGGCAGTGCCGGGGAGCCAGGCGCTGTGCTGGGCACAGCGGGGAGGCAGAGGTTAGGAAGTCTCGGTGCCTGTCTTCAGGGGGCTCGCTCAGCCTAGCGGGGAGACTCAGTACAGCTGCGAGATGATGTCCAACAATAGTAACTCAGAGGTGGTCCAGATGGGAGGTCAGAGGAGGAAGGACGGCTTCTGGGGGCGTGTGCTGGAGGGGAGGAGAGGTCAGAAGCTTATCTGAGGAGGCTAGAACTTAAACCAGACTTTGTAAGGTGACCCTCCCCCCTCTCTAGAGTGCAAGGACACTAGAGGAGACTGCAAGGACACATGGAGACCTGGCTGGTCCAGCCCGGGGGCTGGATGCTGGCAGTGAGGCTGCCATCTCTACACTGTCCTTCTTGCTTCTCTCCCAGCTGGGTAGGGTGTCAGTATCCCGGCTACCGCGGGGACCAGTACCTCCTGGAGCCTGGTGACTTCCGGCACTGGAATGAATGGGGAGCCCTCCAGCCTCAGATGCAGGCCATGTGTCACCTTCGGGACAGGCAGTGACATTGCGAGGGCTACTTCCCTGTCCTGGCGGTGGAGCCCCCCAAGTGAGTCCACACTCCATTTTTTCTTCCTCCTCACACCCGTTCCTCAGGCTCCATCTCTCCATCTTTCTCGTGCAAATTAAAGTTCCTAAAGCCCAAATGTCTGCTGGGTCTGCGAACAGGTGTGTGTCTCGAAGTCACAAGCCATCACTGCTGGCTTGTGACTTTCTCGGTCTTCATCATAGAAACAGCAAGCACTGCAAAGCTCTCCATTCACGTTCTCTTGGCATAACTTTTGAACTACTCTAGGAGGCCAGCATTATAGTTACTCCCGTTTAACAAGTCAGGAAATGGAGGCTCAGAGAGGGAAAGCGACCTGCCCCAGGCCACACAGCTAGCGAGTGGAGAACTGAACCCAGTCTGGCTCCAGAGCTGAGCTCCCAAACAAATCTGTGTTTGCAAACTCTATTCCTTCACACACCAGCCTCATGGTTTTTTGTTGTTGTTGTTTTTTTTCCACTCTATACGTACCACCTGCTTTGTTATTTACTTACTATTTTTGTTTAAATAGGCTTACTATTTTGCGCTCAAATGCATTGATTTGTAAATAAGACTTTGCAACACCACGGGAAGTGGAAAATCAGCATCATATGCCATAGATAGAAAGCAATTTCATAAATAAAGACAACTGAAAGAAGGCCAGGTAGAGAATTCTCAGCAGACACCACGGCCTGCGGGAGGCTGGGAACCTGCCATCTGCTCTTGGACAGGGTGAGTGACAAGTGTCAGAGGTAGGAAAGACACGCTGGCACCAAACTGAGATTTTTCTCCCTGGTTTTATCGAAGAAGACCGAAAAGAGCATTATTTTCTTGTATCTGCTTCAGTGTTCTTTAATCCTGGGGTCCAAATTCCACCTACTGCAAATGCTCCAGGCCTCGCTTTTTTGGAAATGGGCACCAGGCAATATTGACTCCCGTATTGTCAGTTATCCTTGATTGATCGCATTAACCTTTAATCCCTGCAGGAAGCCTGGGGAGTTGTTGCCATGGTTATCTTCCTGGAGGAGGGGATGTGTGAAGGAGGCCTTAAAGGATGGAGCAGGAGCTTGTTTAATGGAGAAGGGGGAAGGGGAGGGGGAGGACATTCCAGGCAGAGCAAACAGCTGGGTCCCTGCTAATGATTAAAAAGATGCCTTTTCCTCAAGATCGTTGACCGCCACCTGCCCAGAAACGATTGGTATAAATCTGTAATGTCTACAGCGTGCATGGGACACCCTGTGCTGTCTGTGCCCAGCTTGCACAACTGTGCCTGGCGCCCCTGCAGCACCATGAGCAAAGGCACGGAGGTCGGGGTGCTTGGGGTGGAGCCAGGCGAAGCTTATTGAAACAGGAAGCCGTAGCTTGGTGGTTGTGTGTCTGTCCATTGCTGCAAGATGAAGTCCTGACTTCTTCCTACAGCCAGCGAAGTCCTGCAGCACAACCCCCGGGGACTCCTCTGACCTCCTCTCCCCCTTCCCCCCACATCCTGACCACTCTTCAGTTTATGCAAAGCCCCTAGAAGGACCTTTGCACCTGTGGATCCCTGTGCCTGGCACACTCTTCCATGAACCTGCATCTCTGTTTCAGGCCTCAGTATAACGACACAGTATAAACACCTCTGACCCTCCCGTCCTGGACCAGGTTCGCACCCCCTGTTCCCAGCTCCCCAATGCTTATTGGAGGGTCAGCTTCCCCCACCTGGACACAGGGCTCAAGTCCTCCTGTGACCTGCTGACTCCCATGCCCAGTACAGGGTGCCCAGGAAATGCCTCATTCAAGACCTCTTGATCGCTATTCCTCCACCCACCAAGGGACATTACAAAACACTCAGCAGGGCTCCCATGCGGTTAGTCATACAAGACCTCTAATATGTGCACAATAAACACTATATAATCTTGTTCTATCCACTGGAGACAGTAACAGCGGGCTCCATGAAGGCAGGGATTCCATTTCGTCGGGCCCAGCACCTTGAGGAGGGCAGACACTGTTTATTGTCCTGTTCCTCGGAGGACATTCAGCAGCGTCCCAGACCTCTATCCACTGGATGCCAGCATGACAACCCCCCTCCCAATAATGACAACCAAAAATGCCTTCCGACATTGCCGAGTGTCCCCGGGGATGCGGGGAGAAGGGCACAACCGCCCCTTCCTTAGGAACCACGGGCATATTTGAACACAGATGAATGAATACTCCCTCCCTCTTTTTATTTGCTTTATACTAACAGTAGCGTAAATGCACCCTGCGCGGGGTCTAGGGTGCACTTTTCCTTTTACACCACTTCTTGGCGATCATTGCACTCGCTGCTTAGAGACGGAAGGGATCTTCTCTAAAGCGCAGCTGCCTGAGGAGGGAACGTGGTGAGCGCGGGTCCTGGGGGTAAACTGGCGCCAGAGCAGGGCTTCCGGGTGTGTGTGTGTATGTGGGCGGGGCATCAGCTCCCGGGCCACGCCCCCACCGCGTGGTCGGGAAGCAGGGGGCGGGGGCGGAGCCGTGGGCGGGGCCTTTCAAGGTCCCGCCCCCGCGCAACGTCACGGCGCCGCGGCCCCGCCCCCGCGCGGGTGTCTCCCTCCTTCCCTCCCCGGCCGGGGCGGCTGGCGAGCCGGGAGTCGCTCGCTGGTCGCGCGGGCCGTTTCGCTGCGCTCCGCACGGTAGGTGGCCCTGGGGTGGCGCGGGGGGCCTGGGCGGCCGCCTCCGGCAAAGGGTGGCCTGCGGGTCGGCTCCGGGGGGCCTTCCGCCGTCGCGGTTTCCTCCCGGGCCCGGCGAAGCTGCCGGCGTTCCGGGGCTCAGAGCAGCCCGGGAGGCAGCGCGGGCGGGCTGTGGGAGGATCCCCACCCGGCGGGCGTTCCGAGCGCTTTCCGCCGGGTACGGCAAGGGCCCGGCCCCATTCCCGCGCTTCCCGCTTCGGACTCTGCACCCGGGAGGCTCTCCGCGTGTGTGAGTGTGTGTGTGTGTGTGTGTGTGTGTGTGTGTGTGGCGGGGAGTTGGGGGGACGCGGCGTGTCCCCGCCGCCCGAGACCCCGGCCGCTCCCCGGCGCGCGGGGAGCCCCAGGCGGGCGCCGGGACGCGCGGGGGGCGCGTGGAAGTTTGCTTGCAGCCGCCGTGGAAGTTACCGGGCGAATCACAAGTGGAGGCATTGGGAGGCGGAAATCTCGGGCTGGAGAGGGGTGCGCCGAGAGCTCGGGGCAGGGGAAACCCTCCTGAACTTGGGGTCCCACAGGAGGAGGGGGCGAAATGTGGCCGGAGGATCCCACCGCCCGGCCACCTCTCCCTCCCAGTATGAGCTGGACGGAGGACGCCCCACAAAGCTTGGGGCTGGAAGTGGTAGCAAGAGTAAGGGGGCAGGGGCGCCGAGGCTGGGCTCCCCGGACCTGGCAGAGTCATTTTTTAAATGTTTTTGCGGTCAGTCAAAACATAGCTATTGAGCATGTGCCACGTGCTGGTACTCCTCAGTGCGCTTGGGATACACATCAGTGAATCAGCAAGACAGAGATACCCGCCCCAGTGTAGTTCACAGCCTGACAGGTGGAAACACGATAAGCATACCTTGGAAGGTGGGGTGGGGGCACCATTCCGCCAGCTGCAGGCACCAGGAGGCATGCAGTGTGTCACTTGAAAGTGTGTGCCGGGCCTCGGTGCTCCGAGTCAGCCGGGTTCGCCGGAGTCCCAGCCCGCAGGGTGGGCTTTGGCCGCTGCACATCCCGGTGAGCTGAGCTGAGCATGTGCCCGTGTAGACACGTGGCTAAGGGAGCCCCCTTCTGCCCCGATGCTCCTCCCAAAAGGGGTTCAAGCCCCTCTTCTAACCTTATTGGATCTGGAGATCAAGCCACAAAAGAATTAGAGGTAAAACTACACGGAGACCTAAGACTGTTTAAAGAGCAGCATCTAAACCAGGCACCCTCCTCCATGCCTCAGCTCCCATGGAGGGGTGCCTGTGAAAGCATGAACGAGGATACCTGTTAGCTGGGCTTGGACTGAGGAAGACGAACTTGAGAGGTCCAGTGGTGAAGTATACGGGTTATAGAAACTACCATTTCTCTGGGGCCCCAGCAGCTAAGAGTGCTGGGTGCGGCTGGTACTTTACTAAGGGGCATCGCCACAGCCAAGGTATATGTTAAATACCTGACAACCAGGAAGGCGGGACAACCTGTCAGAACCGGCTGCAGCTCTGGAACTGCCTGCAGGCTCCTGCTGGGTCAACAGGGCCCTCAGGCTGCTATTCTGTGAACGTCTGAGCCTTTATGACCCTGTGGGATGGAGGTCAGCCTGGGCTTTCCCACTCAAAGGGGAGGAAGGGGGAGAACCGTGTGACTCAGCAATCCTTCAAAAGCACTGTGCCTGTCACCTCGCTCCTCCCCCTTTTACAGATGGGGAAACTGAGGCTCGGAGAGGTCACGCATCCATGACCCTAGTTCCCCTAGCGAGGGCTTAAACTCCCCCTCAGACCTCCTGACTTCAGGTCTTAACGGGGCTGGCCGCTTTTTCGGGTAGCATCCCCTGGTGGGAGCGTTCTCTGGCACTCCCCTGGCTTTGGGGGGTGCTTCCTGTTTTGAACCCCACAGAGGTAGCTGGGCCTTTACCTCCCCAACCTCCTTGCAGGTCTGTCCCCCACCCTGGGCTGTGGACACCTCTTGCGCACCCCATCTCATGGCCTCCCATTCCAGCCGGCTTGCCTGGTTCTTGGGCCAAGGTTCTGGATTTGGCCAGACTTAGGAGTGACGCACTCTGGTTCAGTAGTGATGTGGCCTGGGTGGGTCATTCTTCCTCACCCAGCCTCAGTTTCCACGACTGTAATATTGGCTTCCTATATTAACCATTTTACCCCATCACGACCCCAGGGAGCTATTATTTACTTAATATGTTTACATCACTTTGTCTTTTTTTAAACCTCATGTTATTTGTTTTATAGCAGCTTTATTGAGACTTAATTCATAGACCATATAATCCCCCCCCCCCCCCATTTGAACTATTCAATCCAGTGGCTTTTGGGATATTCAGAGTTGTGCAACCATCTAACCCTAGAACAAATCA